CTAACAAAAGCATGTGAAATGTCAACAGGCCAAGATGTAAATATTTTCACGGACAGTCAGTATGTTTTTTCAACAGTTCATAATTTTGCTGCACAGTGGGAGCGTCAGGTCGGTGACCAGTACAGGGAGAAAAGTTGAGCATGAAGACTTATTAACAGCCCTGTTAAAAGCTGTGTTGTTGCCACGGGCCATAGCTATATGCAAATGTGCAGCACATACCAAAGGTCAAGATGTAGTAAGCAGAGGAAACATTAGAGCAGATGCTGCAGTGAAGGAGGCAGCCAGAGCACAAATCTTTCTGACTAATGCAGATGTGTCAAACGACAGCACAATAATTCCTACAGAAATTCTTATAGATATGCAGAAAAATGCTCCAGCACCTAAAAAGAAAAATGGAAAAGAGAAGGAGCGGTTACAAAGTCTGATGGCTTAATTATGATAAAGGATAAACCAGTTTTACCACAAAGCCTGTTTAAAACAGTAGCGGTGATTAGTCATGGTCAAGGCCATGTCTTAACAGGGGGGATGTTAAGTATAGTACAACAAGTATTTTATCCCACAGGTTTAAATAACTACTTCAAAAATTTTTGTAGAGCATGTCTTACATGTTGTAAATACAATCCACAAGGAAAATAGAGGCCTAAGTGAGGACAGGCACCAAGAGGTACAGCTCTGTTTGAAGTGATTAGCATGGACTATATTGAGCTGACCCCAAGTGGTCAGTACAAGTACTGCCTAGTCTTAGTGGACAACTTTTCTAAATGGGTACAAATTGTCCCTACAAAACATGCAAATGCATTGACAGTGGCAAAAGCGTTGTGTAAACATAGCATGGTATCCCAAAACTCCTACAAAGTGATAATGGAGCACATTATGAAGTGGTATCACTAATGTCTAAACATTTAAACATAACCTTTAAACATCACTGTTCCTACCATCCACAGAGTGCAGGATTGGTGGAATGAGCTAATGGAGCGGTTAAGAACAGATTGAGAAAATTAATGGCAGAAACAGGAAAGCCATGGCCAGAGTGTTTGCACTTAGTAAAACTACTCATGAGGATTACTCCCATATCTGATGGTTTGACTCCTTTTTAAATAGTGAATGGGAGACCTTTTGTTCTACCCTTATGGGAAGGACAACCATGGACAGAAAAAGAAGAGGATGACACTGACCCATTAATTAAGTAGATGCTGAAGCTGTTCAGTGACAAAACTGTTCGGAAAACATGTAATCTGTCCAGTGCTCCTTTTGTTTCCCCACAGGAAGGCCTGAAGCCTGGAGATCGAGTTATGAGTAAAATCATCAAAAGGAAAAATTGGGCAGCTCCTAGGTGGGAAGGACCCTACATTGTGCAACTAGCAACCCCAACCGCTGTGAAGATCCAGGAGAGAGACACTTGGATCAACCAGAGTCATTGTAAGCTGATAAAAGACTTTCCCCAACAGGAAGCCCAGTTACCTTCACAGGGACCCCACGACTAAAGTAGGGATCTGCTGTGAAGCCCAGCTACAAAGGGGTTAAGCAATTTAGAGCTTTTCGTCTCAACGCTGGTGAAGAAACCAACCTAACCCAATCCTTTAGAGTCCTGGTTAGTGGGTGCTTCCTTGGAGGGACTGGTGAAGATGGGAAAACTAAAGTGACTCTGCTGCTTGATGGTGACCATTGGACTGGTGCTCCTAGGGACTCAAACTGACCACCTGAAACAAAGGAAAACCAGAATGGTTTTTGATGGATCCCTACGGCGCCAATATGTGGTGGCAGCATGCCAAACATGTTGCTGAAGGTTTGAATAAAACAGACTGTTATGTTTGTACTCATATGCCTACTTCCACAATTCAGACTGTCTATGCATACAATATGTCCGCAGATCAAACTGACTGCCTTGTGGCTCTTTCAACTCATCCAGGAATCAATGTTACACATTCCAAAGCAAATTTCTCAAACCCATTAAATATCTCAATTAGTCCTTTAATAGACCTACCATGTACTGCAGCTAAGGACACCACAGTGTTACCACAGGTATCAATCCCAATTCCCACATACGTCATGATAGTAGGTGAAAAATTCCCTGTGTGTTTGTAGAAGGTAATGGCAGCGCCTCAGTGAGCAAAATTCCAAAGGAAGATGTAATGCTATTTATTCTTTTTGCCCATATATAAATGAAACTGCATGTTCGGCCTGCAGGAAAAATAGAACATGTCGTACCAGTCCCTCAGACAGGGCTACTCAATGTGCAAAAAATCATTCCTATGCCATAGCAAACACCAGATGCTCTTCAGTAATGACTTCATCGCTGGGAACCCACACCTTGGCAGACTGGTACTATGTCTGTGGCCATAAGGCTTACCCAGCTTTGCCTATTGGATGGGGGGGGACGTTGTACTCTGGCGCTAGTGTCAGATCACACCATGGTTATGGAAAAATTTGAGCAGCATCCCCATTATTCCCACCTACAAAAAAGGGAAGCTGAAGAAGACACAGCTATCAATTTCCCAGCATCATACTGGGGTGTGACCACAGACTCAGGAGTCCCCATGAACTTTAGAATATGAGGGTGGGGTCCTAAACTTATGCAAGGTTTTTTCCCATGGGTAGGTATTGGAGAAATTCGGGATCATGTTGAAATCAACAGGTATGCCTTGATGAGACTTATAAATGCCACTGAGGATTTGGGAAGAGCAATAAAACAGGAATTCAGCCAAGTTCAGCAGACCCTCATTCAACACAGAATGGTAATGGATTTGCTGACAGCCTCCCAAGGGGGCATGTGTACCATTATTGGTCAGACATGCTGTACTTATGTAACTAATGACACCAATGGGGTAGGAATACAGACCACTCTGGATGAGTTGAAAGATTTAAAGAGGTATATCACACCTCCGGTGCAAGTCCAGCACCATGGACAAGTTGGTTCACCATGGGATCATGGTGGTAGGTTCTGATTAAGATAGCTTTACCATTTGTAGGATTGTTTTTCATATTTTCCTTTTATTTGTTGCTTAATACCATGTCTCCAGTCAATGATTCAGAGAATGATAGGATCCACTCTAAACCAGTATTCAGCTGTAACTTATGTTCAACTCCGCCAAGATGCTGGTGCCGATACTGATGATATGGTGGCAACTGTGTAATCTCTTACAGGGATAATGGTCGCTTCCTCTGGAAGGGTCGGGTAGGAATTTCCCTCTATTGGAGAGGTTTTGCCTACTCAAGGGACAGAATTTTGAAGCTTTTTACATTCTTGATAAATCTTACATTTTTGCTGAAGTTTTACATTTTAATCCGTTTCATATTTTTGTTTTTTGCATGTTGATCTTTGATTCCTAATTCCCTATCTGCAATGCATTTATGATGTGTGTAGTAGACATCTTTTTAGAAGTGCTACAGGCTGATATTTATATGCACAACAGGAGTGAAATGTTAGGTTTATTCAATGATGATTATAAAATTAATGTGTGCTTATAAATCATTTGTGAAAGGGGGATGCTGCACTGTGTCTTGTGATGCAGTCAGGAGACCATCCTGCCTTGTCATTCTGATGGAGCATCTTGTCTTTATGAACTGATCAATTGTTCTGTCAGAACAAATACTGTTTTGTAACCATGTGTTATGTTCTGTTAATAAAAGACAGCTGATTCGAAGAAGGAAAGCTTGAAGTTGGGTTGGGCTTTTTCTTTCCGCGCCTGCAGAAGCTGCTTGAATCTCTTTCCTGTGTAGACTCAATTTCTATTTTTTTGCAAACCTACAATTTCTGAATCTAACAGCCATCAACACATATTTATCAGATACCTTGCTGGTATAATAAACTGGCTAAATAAGGAGATAGAGGCTACTGACATCAAGATGAGAAAGCTCCTCACAATGCATGGAGTGTTTCACCCCAAATCCAGCACCCTGAGACTGTATACGTAACGAGGGAGGCAGAGCACAAGAACATGGCAGCACAAGAACAGGCACTCAGTACTAGATCAATAGGGGCCGGGGTCTACCACACCAGGCAGGACCCCCGGTGCAGACTGTGCAAAGATGCATCTGAAACAATACAGCACATAACAGCAGGGTGTAAAATGCAGGCAGGAACTACATACATGGAACGCCAAAACCATGTAGCTGTCATAGTGTACAGAAACATCTGCCATGAGTATGGGTTGGAAGTCCCAAGGTCAAAATGGAAGACACCTCCTAAAGTAGTTGAGAATGACCGAGCTAAGATCCTATGGGACTTCAAGATCCAGACTGACAAACAGGTGATGGCTAACCAATCAGACATCATGTTGATCGACAAACAGCAGAAGAAGGCAGTAGTGATAGATTTGGCAATCCCAAGCGACAGCAACATCAAGATGAAGGAATACGAAAAGCTTGAGAAATACCAAGGGCTGAAAGAGGAGCTAGAAAAGATGTGGAAAGTAAGAGCAGCAGTGGTGCCAGTGGTAATTGGAGCACTGGGGGCTGTGACCCCCGAACTGGGAGAGTGGCTACAGCAGATTCCAGGTAAAACATCAGAGGTCTCTGTCCAGAAGAGTGCAGTCCTAGGAACAGCTAAGATACTGTGCAGAACCCTCAAACTCCCAGGCCTCTGGTAGAGGACCCGAGCTTGAAGATGACACATACTGTACATGCATTTATGCCTCACCCGTGCATATATATATATATATATATATATATATATATATATATATATATATATATATATATATATATATATATATATATATATATATATATATATATATATATATATATATATATATATATATATTTCATCAGTACCAAGTTCTGGTACTGATGAGCGCAGTCCTAGGAACAGCTAAGATACTGCGCAGAACCCTCAAACTCCCAGGCCTCTGGTAGAGGACCCGAGCTTGAGGATGACACATACCACCCCACGAGGGGTGAGAAAACAGTTTTTTTTTTTTTTATATATATATATATATATATATATATATATATATATATATATGGTTTATTAGATGTGATGGGACATTAAATCTTACCATAATGCACTTTGTCAGGTAGTTAAAGACGGTTGCCTTCATTTCAAAGTTCTCCCCCCGGATTATAGAGTAGGGCAGGGTGAGCTCCAGGAAGAAGGGCTGGAAGACGGTGAGATTCTGACGAGGAGCCAAACCAAAACCCTGAGAGGACAAACAGAAAGTCTCTGTCTCCCAGGTGGTGATGGTGTCTGGGACAGTGAAGGACACATCCTTCGTCCCAGAAGGTCTGGATCAACACAAAATTAAATGTAATTATGAGTGTAAAATATGCAAACATAAAGAAAAAGCACACATTAAGTATTTTATCATTTAACTTAGAAGTTACTGGAGAACACACCTTTTATTATGATATTTTATAGGCAAGAGTGGTAGAGACTGCTCACTAGAGAGTTTTCTCAGCGTCATGATATGTTTTACAAACTAAAAGATTACAATAACAGAACGTGTCGCTTGGAATTTTTGTGTTACATCAGTAGTTATCTAATTGGTTCTAACCTGGTGATGCTGACCCTGTTAGTACCACCTAGGAAATGTCATGATTCTGCTCCTTGCTCCACCTTCTGGGTACTATTCCACCTCACTCTGCCTGCTGCCACACCACTGATCTCTATTTATTGCCCCAAAAAAGTGAAGCCACCAACCGCCATGTTGGTACTCCCCCCTCCCACAGACACGCTCCATAAAAATGCATCCCTGTGCAGCATTTGGCTGCAAAAACAAGCAGTTTGTCGGCTGTGGGAGGTAATTTCACTAACAGTGTCAGTGTGTGCATACATACTTGTATGTATAGTTTTTTCAAAGTATCACATTCTTGTTTTAACTAAGAGCTAAAAAGCAAAATATGAACTTGATGTTGCCTGTTATTTTATCAATTTATGTGATTTTGCTAGTGTAGAAACTAAAGCTCTGTGAAGTTATTAATTTGGTTCATTAATTTAGCTCTATTGTAAATCTGTCAGATTTTTAGGCTAATGGACAGAAACAGCATTAAAGTATATGGTATCATGCATGCACAATTTGCAAGTAGAAAAGTACTACAGCATTAACAGACATGTACTTGTATTTCAGTCTTTATGTAAAATCTTGAAATTATATGTAAGATGCAATTATAACAGTGTAATAAATACTATATATTACATAAACATAATCAATTTAGCACTTTTGGCTCATCTGTATTATTCTGCTCTATTAACAGTTTTATTGTGATGGATTTGTATAATATGTTATATTACATTGATTTATAGAGTTCATAATGACTCTGCAATGTGATGGGCCGATTTTTTATTAGAAGTTAAAATAATCTACTGATGCTATGAAGCAGCCAGTCTGTGTCAAAGTGATGAATTTATCTTTATTTTAAAATTATTAATTCCCCCTGAAAATGAGAACATCATCCCCTACCTGTTTGACCCGACCTGCTAGTCACGATAAGGGCAACTTTCCTGCCCTGGATTACACTGTCTGTGCATATGCCAACTCCAGCCGCTGCTGGTATCTGCAGCTGTTTGCTCCCCTCATTCTCTCACAGACCCCACTCCAACCACTGGATTCTCTGCCTCCACACAGACTCTTCCCCTTCAATCAATAAATATCAACTTCTGGTGTTAGTGTACCTAAGTACACTTTTTATGTATCTATACTTTACTCCATTACTTATTTTTCTTCCAACTTCTGACTTCTACTCATTACATTTTCACATAAGTAGCTGTACTTTCTATTCCTTACATTTTTAAAACAAACGTTACTCGTTACTCTTGGCTTCGGTTTAATGTTTATAAATATTTATTTCCCGTCATGTGCTCCATCCAAATCAGATCATTGGCTCCATCCACATCTAGTGAAAACTATTGTGATTGGATGAGTCATAGAACACAAACACTCATTGGTTAGCTAAAGGAAATCATCAGAAGCAAGCAGGTGTTCTTCAAACTGCTAACGTGAATTGTCTATGCCATGCTACAATGTGGCATTCAGAAAAAGATGTTGAAATGTCTGAAAAGTCGGACACAGGCGAGAGCGTATCGGGAGATGGAGACCAACAACAGAACAACAGAAATCGAGACTCATCAGACCAGGCAACGTTTTTCCAATCTTCTATTGTCCAATTTCAATGAGCTTGTGCAAATTGTAGCCTCAGTTTCCTGTGCTTAGCTGAAAGGAGTGGCACCCGGTGTGGTCTTCTGCTGCTGTAGCCCATCTGCCTCAAAGTTCGACGTACTGTGCGTTCAGAGATGCTCTTCTGCCCACCTTGGTTGTAATGGGTGGTTATTTGAGTCACTGTTGCCCTTCTATCAGCTCGAACCAGTCTGGCCATTCTCCTCTGACCTCTGGCATCAACAAGGCATTTCCGTCCACAGAACTGCAGTTTCTGAAATACTCAGACCAGCCCTTCTGGCACCAACAATCATGCCACGTTCAAAGTCACTCAAATCCCCTTTCTTCCCCATACTGATGCTCGCTTTGAACTGCAGGAGATTGTCTTGACCATGTCTACATGCCTAAATGCACTGAGCTGCCACCATGTGATTGGCTGCTTAGAAATTAAGTGTTAACGAGCAGTTGGACAGGTGTACCTAATAAAGTGACCGGTGAGTGTACATCGTTAATGGTGACTTTTTAAACCCTGCGGTTTTGTCTTTTAATTTGAGCTGTAGCTGACTAAAACAACTGAAAACATTGTACAGCTCATGACTGGTCTTAGTTTTCTTCTAGTTCTTTCTCAGCACATCTGTTCCCACTTTCTTGCTACAGTAATGGTCCTGTTGGTCTGCTCCTCAGGGTATATATATTTAAATATATATATATATATCCTTCCTCTACAGTTTGTCTTTGCTGCATCATTATCTTTACTTCATGACTTAATTAATCCCTGTTTTTCACGAACCATCTTACTGTACTTTACTTGGGTATATTCATTCTGTTTACTCTTGGATTAAGCCTGCTGCCATCATCATCTACAGGAAAACCACTCAGCCTCCTTTTCTGCATTTTGGGTCCAACTGAAACATTCTACAACTTAGGGTGACTGGACGTTCTAACTCTAACACCAGAAACCAAAATCTGGTCACCCTACTACAACTGTGACAAGCTAACGCGATGAAAATTAAGAGATACAAATCAATCTGACAGACATGTTTTTGAAACATACAAATGCACAGTAGAACTTACAAACTCCATGCAGAAAGACCCTGGGCCAGTAATCCAAGGCAACAGTGCTACAAACTGCAGGTTTTCATCAGTGTTAGGAATCCAGTTTGTGTGGGTTGTGTTTTTGTGTTGTTCTTTCCCTCCACCACCAGGTAGTGCCCTGTTCATGTTGGTCCTCCCACACACCTGCGGCTGGTTTGCTCATTACTGAGGACTATTTGAGCGGTGGACTGCCACTACCTCGACGCCCGAGTGTTTGCCACTTTTGGGTACTCTAGCCAAGCTGAGTTTAGCTGAGTCTAACTTAGTCTTTGTTTTAGCTGAGCCTAACCTTGTCTTTGTCTTTTCAGCAGGAAGCCTTCCTGCAAGCTGGATGTTTGGCCTTCTTTCCCTGGAAGGATGGTTTGAGTCTCACACTGAGCAGGGGATTAACCTCCACAAGTTCCGTTCAAGTCGTCCTGGATCCAACCAAGTCTAATCCTGTCCGCCCTCCAACGAGTCTCTACCTCTGGATAAACCCTCACCGACTGGATTCTGGGAGAAGAGGTCTTCTCAATCAACGTGAGTCCCATTTTCTCTGTCTCTCCAGCCATTGCTCAAAGTTTCCACGGATGCTGAACTAATCGCTGATACTTCCCTTCCCTCTTCCAGTTCTGGTTAACCAGCACACTGAGTTTCGTGCATCCAACCCCCGCTGTCCTTATCAACAAACCTGTTCAAACTTTTACCCATGTTCTCTGAGTGGTTTACTGCATGTGGGTCAGATCTCTAAAGAAAATCATGACAATCAGCATCTCACCCAGTCTCCATAAGGTCCCATATCCAGGTCTCAGGGAAGAAAGTGCGAACTGTTTTTACTGGTTCAGGCTCCATACCAGGGCCTGCTGCAGATAATCCAACAATACCTGGCGAATGCATTATTCTATTCATCATAACAGGATGATCTGCGTAAACTGTAAAGAAGAAGAATACAAAGTAGATTTGAATAACCAGTTGCACAACTTCAAGTACAGGTCAGGTACAGGCCAAAAGTTACCATTGGGTTGTGCATAATATCTTCCCTTGAACCTGAGACAACTGGGTAGTCTCATTACCAGATTTGTTGCTGTTTTCAGTCCTACATTCTGCACAGTTTGGGACAACACAATAAAAGGTACATGTAACAATATTTTAAAAGACCACATGTGTTTAATATGCTTTGTATTGTATGGTGCTTTATGCTTCGTACCTGGAAAACAGTATCGGGTTCCTCTTCATTTCCTGGATGTGGTAAAACATATCTCCTTGGCCTCACATTCAAACATTCTGTACGATCTTCATCTTGGACTTGGTATGGTATATGTGATATTTTTTTAACAGGCAACATGCCAAAGATCTGAAAGACAAAATCTGAAATTGTTCAGTGTTTTTTTGGTCTGTGTGTAGACTAATAAAGGTTGCTAGCTGGTACCTTTTCTTTATCCAGAGTCTTCCCGGGTTCCTTGATGAGGACACTCTGATCGACGGCACTGATACCACACAGGGAGTCAGGCTGAGCCATTAGTTGCAATTTGATCTCCTCTCCAGGAACAGCTGGAGATGGAGACAACTCCAACGACACCTGAGCCACATCATTTACACATAACTTTATTTACCAAATAATTAATTGATTAAAGGGGTCATAGAAGTCTCGACTGCTGGGCTGGTGACTGGACTGGACCTCAGCGGAGAGCCATGAGCCGCCCGTCCTCAGCCAGAGGAGGGGGGCCAGTAAGGCAGGCGGGGAGAAGCACGGGGTCATCGGTGTCCAGGCTACCGTCCCCGAATCGGGTTCGGCCGCTCCGTCCCCCACTGGCTCCCGTCCGCCGGGGTTCCCAGACCAGCCCTGGAGCTGACCTCTCGGTTCTGCTGCACTGTAGTTGACCATAATCTTGGACGATTTTGAAATTCCCACAGATATTTTTTTAAGGTCTGAAAAGTAGGACATGTCCGGGGAAAGAGGACGTCTGGTCACCCTACCATATCAACAATTTGATGTTTCAATTAGTGAGTGCTTGTTGCTATGACGTATCTTTACTCAGCAGCTTGGCTCGTTGTAAACCAACCAATCAGGGCACAGCTCGTCTAAATTTTCCATAGCATACCGTAAAAGAAAGAAAACCTGTCGTTTCATTCTAGGGCTTTTAACCAGGCTGCATTAGAGCTCATTGAAAAGCAAATATACCATTGTCAGCCCAACCAATGTTACACACCCTATTCAGAGACCTGAAGGACCAGATACCCTATAGATCATTCTATCACCCTGTTAGAGACCTGAAGGACCAGATACCCTATAGATCATTCTATGACCCCTTTAAATATATCTTAGAGATACTGAATACAAGTATGGTTTCCTCTGCAGTGTATCAACCATATACAAAATTAACCTATTTAACAAGAAATATCTTCCTTAACTAGATATTATGAGGACTGTGTCAGGATTATAACAGCGTCTTCATATGTGTGTCCTTTCATGTCTACTGACCTTATTACTAAAGCATTTTTCTGTGGAGAACTCAGCACTGGCAGCAATCACATTCTCACTGGGGAGGACAGCGTAAGCCACAACCTGGATCAGTGGAGCCATGTCTGGAGAAATGTTCAGGCTGAAGGACACCTGACCCTCATTCACTGAAAAATCCATCACACTGTTAGACATGCAATATCAAGGAAAACAAAGACCTTGAAATTCGTATACTGATCCATTAATTCAGTGAATTGAAAAAGAATCAGAAAAATACAGAAAGAAACTTTAATAAATGTGTCACTTTGGTTTTTATATACCTGGTTTATCTTCAATTTGAACTTGCTTTTGTCCTCCACTGCCAATAGTTCCTCCGTATAAGACCTGTGAATTTATGGAAAAAAATAAAGCAGTTAATTTCTTTGCTGTGGTTGTTTGCAAATTAATGAAGCTGGATTCCCGTCTGGGGGGTCGGTTCAACTCCCAGGAATTCCATCATTCTGCTGTGGGAAATCAGCACCCTCATGGGAAATAACAATAACACCTGAACACACCCCCAGCTCCGAATCCGAGTGGTAATTCTTCATTGGATTTCTGTGCAAGTCATGGATCATCCAAAATGAAGACAATGTTTGAGTATGAGGATGTCCATCAGTGCAGCAAGACACCTGGAGGTTGATGATTTGCTTTGTTGTCTTATCTTCTGATCTTTGTCCGTATGTCTTGGGCACTTAGGTGAGGAGAGGGGCAGAGCTATCATCACCAGGTAGTGTGTTGGATACCCCGAAAGAGGAGGAAGCCCGACAGACTCAGCAAGCCCAACGACTAGTGAGGGTCTCCTGAGAATATTTGGTGGAGCCCTTTGTTAGGGACGTGTTGAACTCCATTCTCTGGGAGAAGCTCTCTTGCTCTTTGGAAGGCTGGAGAAATTGAGTCTGAGTGAGCCAGGTTCTTTGCCTCCATTGTCGACGCAGCTGTGGCCAAATGGTCTGTGGTGCCTGTCATGGAGGCAGTCCTCAAACCCGGTTGTGGACACCAGGAGTAAGCATTGCTGTCATGCTGAAGAAGGAGCCCCATAGAGCCTGGCTGGCTTGTGGGACTCCTTAGGCAGAAATCAGGTATTGTGAAGCCAAGCATTCCGCTGCCCTGGTGGATGCAAAGCCAGAAACTGGGGCCTGGGAGGAGTTTGGAGTGGCCATGGAGAAAGCCTTTTGGGAAAAACTATTGGCTGGACTCCAAGCAATTCTGGCAAACCGTCCAGCACATTTTTAAATGTAATAATCTATCTTGTTAGTCTTTACCATCCCCTTCATGCTCACCGAGTGGTTGGAAAATAACACATTCTTATACTGAATAAAACTTAAGCTGTTACGGTTTAATGCTAATAATTATGTACTTTTGTTTCACTCTGCTAAAGTCTAAATACAGAGCTAAAACAGACTGTCTTCTGCTAAATGTTGCAAGTTTTAATGTACAGCTGTCCACTGGACTACATTTTAAAACTCTAAAATAATGTTGGTAACCGGATGAATGACTCACCAAATGAACGATATCTATAGATCCCTGTGGTTCATGCACAACGGTGTAATCAATGGAGATGTCCACTTCTTTATCACATGAAAGAGTTGAGTCAATCTTCTTTATCTTCAAGACGCTGCTTGTTTTAATGTCAACAGAAGGAGGTCGGGACTGACGAATGGTGTGTTCTTCCCAGGCAATGTGAGCTGTTCTATACTGTGGGTACAGCATTTCTGGTGTGCTACTTATCTGTTTATAAAAAGAGATAATGGTGCTTAAAAGGCAAACAAATATTATTTTATTCATGGTTTTTGACATTTAAAACAGGATCGTTACAGGTGTAATTAGCTTACAATCAGGCGAGTGTCTCCAAAAAATTTGTCTGTGCTGACAGAGAATGTGGCGAAACCGTTGCTGTCAGTCGTGAGATTCTGCAGTAATTTGGGAGACCATACACGACCCTCTAGCAAATATAGCGGCATGTGAGAAATGGGCGTATTGTTGTAGTGAACAGCCTTGACCTGTAAGATATACAATTCTGGAATAAAATAGTGCATTGAGTCACAAGATATAAACAACTAACTATTCAAGGATTCTTAATAGTTATTTTGGAAAAATAACCCACCCTAATACATTTAAAGCAAACTGTTGTGTAACTTTTAGCCACTAGGGGAGGGAGACTTATAACATCTAAGTTAAGCTACCCTGAAGACCAGTGGCAGCACTGGACTCATAACAAATTGGAAGTGACGCTCTGGGTCACATGACTCATTCAGTGATAGATTTGACCCTTCCAAGTTAGAAAGGAGAATCTTTGAGAAGGGCAGCCTGCATGGAGCAGCAATAAGCCCCAAATGTTTCATATTGACCTGTAAATCATGTAATATATCTAGAATTATGCTAATACTTGAGTCTAAAGTTATGCAGCATTAATTTCAATGTTTTAGAAAAATAAATGGAATGTAACATAACCTGAGTGAATAAAAAATGCAAATGATCATTTCTTTTACTAAGAGAAAAAGCTATCAAAATAAACGTGGCTCAGTGTGAAAGGTACACTATATTGCCAAAAGTATTTGCTCATCCATCCAAATTATTGGAATCAGGTGTTCCAATCACTTCCATGGCCACAGGTGTATAAATTCAAGCACCTAGGCATGCAGACTGTTTTTACAAACATTTGTGAAAGAATGGGTCGCTCTCAGGAGCTCAGTGAATTCCAGCGTGGAACTGTGATAGGATGCCACCTGTGCAACAAATCCAGTCGTGAAATTTCCTCGCTCCTAAATATTCCACAGTCAACTGTCAGCTGTATTATAAGAAAATGGAAGTGTTTGGGAACGACAGCAACTCAGCCACGAAGAGGTAGGCCACGTAAACTGACGGAGCGGGGTCAGCGGATGCTGACGCGCATAGTGCGAAGAGGTCGCCAACTTTCTGCAGAGTCAATCACTACAGACCTCCAAACTTCATGTGGCCTTCAGATTAGCTCAAGAACAGTGCGCAGAGAGCTTCATGGAATGGGTTTCCATGGTCGAGCAGCTGCATCCAAGCCATACATCACCAAGTGCAATGCAAAGCGTCGGATGCGGTGGTGTAAAGCACGCCGCCACTGGACTCTAGAGCAGTGGAGACGCGTTCTCTGGAGTGACGAATCGCGCTTCTCCATCTGGCAATCTGATGGACGGGTCTGGGTTTGGCGGTTGCCAGGAGAACGGTACTTGTCTGACTGCATTGTGCCAAGTGTAAAGTTTGGTGGAGGGGGGATTATGGTGTGAGGTTGTTTTTCAGGAGCTGGGCTTGGCCCCTTAGTTCCAGTGAAAGGAACTCTGAATGCTTCAGCATACCAAGACATTTTGGACAATTCCATGCTCCCAACTTTGTGGGAACAGTTTGGAGCTGGCCCCTTCCTCTTCCAACATGACTGTGCACCAGTGCACAAAGCAAGGTCCATAAAGACATGGATGACAGAGTCTGGTGTGGATGAACTTGACTGGCCTGCACAGAGTCCTGACCTCAACCCGATAGAACACCTTTGGGATGAATTAGAGCGGAGACTGAGAGCCAGGCCTTCTCGTCCAACATCAGTGTGTGACCTCACAAATGCGCTTCTGGAAGAATGGTCAAAAATTCCCATAAACACACTCCTAAACCTTGTGGACAGCCTTCCCAGAAGAGTTGAAGCTGTTCTAGCTGCAAAGGGTGGACCGACGTCATATTGAACCCTATGGATTAGGAACGGGATGTCACTTAAGCTCATATGTGAGTCAAGGCAGGTGAGCAAATACTTTTGGCAATATAGTGTATTTGCCCCATAAACCTTATAACTGTGCAACCCTTGGTTCCTTTCATATCACTCTTGGCTTACTTTGTGTATAGTTTCTTTGTATCAATGTTTGTCCCTCACACTGAAAAAAAATTGTATAAAAAGAAACTGAAAAAAAGAAATAATTTACGCTCAAACGTCGACTAGCCTACATTTGGTTGAAAGGTGAAAAGCTGTAATTTTCAGACTGTTGAAAAGACGTTATAAACTGGATTTTCAACAGTCTGAAAATTGTCTATTATTGGACTAAATTTGGACAAAATAAGAATGACCAACCACTGCCCAATTTTCTTGGTGCTGGTGGCTGGCTTAATTGCTCATTCATTCACAGGTCTACTCTTCCTGGTTGCTCATTACCGCTCATCTGAACCACCAGTTTCCAGCTCCTATTTATGCTGTCTGTTTCCAGCCATCAGGGCCAGATTATCAGAGCCTAGTGTGAGAAGTATCTTGCACAGCCTGTAGTGTTGTTTGACTACCTGATCCTGACCTGTTTCTGCCCCTGGATTCCTGAGTTTTGGTCTGCCCCTGTTCCCCTTGGTACCTCTGCATCTCTCTTATCTTCTGGTCTAGACTCCAGCTTCGTTACTTGCTCTGGATTCTCCCTCTGGACCCTTTTGATCTCAGTATCTGCTGGCTTTCGCTCTACAAGACTCCACTATTCTGCTCTTGGAACTCTATGGGCGGCTCCCGCCGCATGTTGAGGAGAAGTCATCTGACTGGTTCCCACTCCTTCCTTTGGACACGGATTGAACTTATAACCAGGTTAGTGATTCACATGCTCATTCCCCGTTTGAGCTAGTGATCACTAACCTCATTGATTATCGCTACAGAGAATCCAGAAACCCGTCCCAGCTGAACCCTTGCATAATCCAAAGCTTTCAATAAAAGTAACCTCTTCTGTCTGCCTGAATAATAGGTCAATTTGTCTGATCATTGACATTTTCAACAAATATTTCTGGACTAAATCAAGACTGTGAAGGATCAACCAGATTAGGCCTTAAATCCAACGCCCACAGCCCATCACAGGACACACCGGTGTGTGCTGGAATGCCTCAGTCTTCTCTCAGAGGAGCTGGAGGAGGAGTCTTGAGAAAGGGAAATCTGAGCGACTTTGCTGGGACTGCTGTTCCTCAGGACCCAGTCACAAATAAGCAAACAGTCTTCCTTTGAAACTGAAGAAATTGCCGTCTGTTGTGGTTCAGGTGTTGTGACCTACAGGATAGGCTCATGATGACCAACAACATGTAGGAAGGTCAAAGTCATTTAGCGTTTTCGGAACTGTTGGGAAATGGCTTGTGGTTCACGGTAGTTCTGAAGCCTAAAAAATGCTTTTATAACCTTTTTGAAACATGCTAATGACTGCCTTTCTTCTGCTCATGGACTGAGACATCGTGGGTTAGATCTTTTATCCTTCTTTATGTTGTCAGATAGCTTCCATTTAAGTAATTTTAAGATCTTCATGTGATTTAATAAGTCTTCCTCGGTATGACTGGTAAAATTAAATTCTGTTTATGGAAACTTTGTTCATTTGCAGATAATTTATAAACACGTAACATTGTACCCCCCCACCCCAAAAAAAACTACAACCTTCTTGGAAAGCTGCACTCAGTATTCACTCAATGTATCTTTCTTTTGTTTAATGATATGATAAAATAAAGACCAAAAGAAAAGGAAAGAAAGTACATCTGTATGGGGAGGAAAAGTATCTCTATCACTGAGTTCTTACTTACTTTTCCCTCCAGATTTGTGCCTTTTTCATAAATCCTAGGCGGGTCAACAAATGCCAGCTTGCCAATAACGTAGGAAATCTTTACCCTCTTCTTTTGCAATTGTGAAACACCTAAATATATACAAAATCCACGTTACAATAATAATCTGGCTATCATATGATTAAAACATTGCAATAAAGTTGGCTTTAAGGACAGGACTCACCTGTTCCTTCCTCCTTCCCAGTTATCCAAACATCAAATAAAACGCCCCAATGGTCTAGTTTGCTCAAACTTGACATTTTAAATTCAGCGATAGCACAGCCAGTTTTGTCCGTCTAAATATTCAACAAAAACAAAGATATAATGAGATAGACAGAAATGATAAAGAGTAAAGTCTCTTCCAATACCGTAGTCTGGATGAATGCTTGATTCCGATTAGTTGCAAGTGTCTTTTAAAGGACAGTAGGAAATCCTATCAAAAAGTTTCAGAATTATAGGCTGATTATTCTAATTTATTGCACAAACTTAAACACTAGTTGGTAACGGCAGGACAGTAGACCGTGGGTGTGTCCAAATTCAGGGGCTGAACTGAGGAGGAGTATTCCTCAGGTCCACCTCTGCCTCATATGTAGCCGTCTTTCTGAAGACCTACCAATTTGTGTGCTGAAAACAGTCCTGTAGCACATCTTCTACATTCCTGGGTCACACTGTTTTCCTAGTTGGCCTAATCCCTCTGATCAATGTTTGGTATACTGGGACCAGCAGGATGGAGATGTGGTTGAAAATGGCTAGATGGGGTTGAGGAAGAGGTCTGGGGTGACAGTGATGTCAGATGCAGGTTTTAGCCCTGAAACCGAAGGGTCATCAGTTCCTGCTGATGTTGGTCGGAGGGACTTGCGGCGGCTGTTTACGGCAGCCTCTCTTCTGTCAGTTGGTTAGAGGAGAGCTGTGAGCATGAATGGGTGAATGACTAAAACTAGAGTAAAATATTTTGGTCAAGTCTTGAAAAAGCTGTATGTACGAAAGTACAGGTGATTTTCCATTTGTATGCACTGTGTAACTTAAAGTACACATAGTCCAGAGTTTAGGGATAGGAGACATCTTGGTAAAAACCATCAGTGTCCATCGGATTCTTCTGAAACTACGGTTAAATGATTTCGCCAAAAATAAAAATTTGGATTATTTTCAACCAATAATATGTTTTTATTGCTATTTTCCTTTGCACTAAACACAAGTATATAGATGTTAAAAGATGGTGGCACCCTGATGGCTGCGGCTGTTTACAGCTCCTGAGAACCTGTGAGCAGTTCTACTGAAATATGCTACCTAGCACGCTACAAACTATTAATTGATCCAGTGGGTTAGTTTATGACCGCGAACGCCTGCTGGAGTTACGGTCATCAGGTAATTTTTCTGGACTGTATATACTGTACAACTACTCTCAATCATTTACGTAAAGCCGGGCATACACTGTGCAGCTTTTTTCAATAGTTGCACGCAGCTACAACTCACACAGTACGACGAAACCTCAGGTACACCTTGCTGGACCAATCCATAGTACCAGCATGCTTTAAGGCTGCCTCCATTATTCCAGTCCCAAAGAAGCCTCAGGTCGCCTCCCTCAATGATTAGCGGCCTGTCGCTCTGACTCCCATCATGATGAAGTGCTTCCAAAGGCTTGTTAAAGAACACATCGTCTCCAGTCTGCCGCCAACATTCCACCCGTTCCAGTTTGCCTGCCGACGGAACCGCTCCACTGAGGACGCCATCTCTGCTGCTCTCCACCTGAGCCTGGCACACCTGGAGGAGAAGAACACCCACGTGCGGATGCTGTTCCTGGACTTCAGTTCAGCTTTCAACACCATCATCCCAAAGCATCTGATGGGCAAACTGGAACCGCTGGCTGCTAGACTTCTTCACCAACAGACCTCAGTCAGTCCGGGTCGGACAGAACGCCTCTGATGTCATCAGTCTAAGCCCCTCCCCACAGGTCTGCGTCCTGAGCCCCCTGCTGTTCACCCTGATGACACATGACTGCGTCCCCAGGTTCACCACCGATCACATGGTGAAGTTTGCAGACGACACCACGGTGGTGGGCCTCATCAGAGACGAAAACGACCTGGACTACAGAGAGGAGGTGGAGCAGCTGGTGGAGCAGAGATAACAGCCTGATCCTGAAGGTGGAGAAGACCAAGGAGATCATGGTGGACTTCAGGAAGAAGCGGCCTAACCACGCTCCACTGCTCATCAACAGCTCAGCTGTAGAGGTGGTCAGCAGCACCACATTCATCACAGACACCCTCACCTGGACTGCAAACACCACCTCACTGGTCCAAAGGGCCCAGAAGCGCTTGGACTTCCTGCGGAGGATGAAGAGAGCCCACCTGCCCGCCCCCCATCCTCCCCACCTTCTCCAGAAGCACCATAGAGAGCGTTCTGAGCAGCTGTCTCACTGTGTGGTGTGGAGGCTGCAGCGCCTCAGACTGGAAGAAGGTGAGAACAGCAGAGAGGATCATGGGGGCTCCTCTTCCCTCCATTAAAGACATTTCATCCCAGCGCTGCGTGTCCCGAGCCTGTGACATCATCACTGACCCCTCACCCCCCCCACCATGGACTGTTCTCCCTGCTGCCCTCTGGGAAGAGGCTTCACAGCATTCAATGCAGGACCAGCAGGTTCTGCAGCAGCTTCTTCCCCACCGCCATCAGACTGATGAACTGTTGGAACTCAAAACAAGACTTTGCATCGTACTCTGTAAACATAACATCTGCACTACATGGCTGATTGTTTCAAATCTCTTTAAATTGAACTAATTTAAATTTTTCTACTGCATTTTGTAACATTTTTCTGATCGCTGCTACAATTGGAAATGTTCATTTCACTATTGTAAGCTGCACACGTTTGTCCAAGTCTGACTATTTCACATAAATCGGTGTTTCATGGCTCCACATCTTCCATAGTTCCAATAACGAAACCTCATGGGGAATTAAGCTTAGTTTATATTTGCCTTGTCACACTGGGTGCCCATCATGTCCCTGTGTGTTGACTGCACTATGTCGTGTACCTCCAAATTTTTGTAATTTGGTGCGGACCACTTGCACTGCCGATGTTCCAAATGGGACGATATGAAGTTTTTCTCAAGGAAAAAGTTTGCCTTTACTGACATCAAATGGTGCAGAAGGTTCAAGTGGAATAGTCTGGTTAAATGCGTTGTTGTAAATGTTCATTCAATTACTCAAAACGGCATAAAGGGGCGAGTTTGCTTGCCAAACTTGTGGTACAAACAAGGATTTTAGTTTCTGTTTCCATGACATACTATATAGATACATTTTGAAACATCTACCCATTGTATACAGTGCATTCAGCTTTTATTTAGTGAAACTATGTTTTTTCTCTGTTAAAAAAGATAGGTCTGTATGGGCTTCACAGGGGGGCTTGTTATACTAAAATACAGTGTTCTAGTCCACACTAGCAAAGGACAGAAATATAAAGGCACATATTTCAAATTTTCATACAGTATTTTTAGGAAAAGAAAGCATTTCTATTCTGTCAGTAATGCCTTACAAACCAGCATTACATTTGCTTTGTTTACACTTAGCTTATTTTGGGCATAATATTCAAAAGGTTTGCATTTAAAACCTCAGGGAAATATGCAAAGCTGATCTCAGAGTAGGCAAACCTGAGGAACAACAACTGCCAACTTTAGTTTGGTGCCTTCATGAATGTGCAGATGAAATTCTTATAAGCAAATCCAGCAAATTTACGAGTTTGGGAAATTCAAATTGGAAATACTTATCACTCGCAAAGCAATTTTATGAAGCCTAAAACTGAGATCTTTGGTGTTGATATTCATTATATACAATCATTTCTGATGTTACTATGGCCACAAAGAAGGCATTGGTGCAACAATTGAAAAAAAATATGTGCTCATGTCATAATTAGACTGGCAAATGTGTGTGACTCTACCTGCTTTTCGATTGTCGCACAATTAGTTTTTACGTGAGAGTTTCCTTGTGAATCCACCACTCCAGTAGCCCATCTAATAAGTGGACAGACCTCGACTGTAATGTTTCCTTGCACAGGCTGTCCATATGTGTACCTGGTTAAATTGAAACAGATCAAAGTCATCACCGAGAGAAACTGCTTTATTAGTTCTGTTATCTTTAGAAAAAAAAAATGTATACTTACTTTAAACAGGCTTTAATTTCAAATTCCTCCTGTGCAATACTGGTTTCCTCTTTTACATCCATATTAATATCAAATTTAGGCAAAACTGAGTGACAGAACAGTAAATGTTAGCATGTCGGAAAAATGGGAAATATTTTGTTTGTTAAAAAAAAAATTATATATATATATATATATATATATATATATATATATATATATATATATATATATATATATATATATTAGTGCTGTCAAAATTATCGCGTTATTATCGCGTTAACGCGAGGCCATTTTAACGGCGATAATTTTTTTAACGTGAGATTAACGCTATGTGGTTTTATGGTACAATTTTCGGAGTACATCCCGCTGCAGCCTGCGGGAAGGCGGGGCTATTTTCCCCCAGTCTATGCATTTTCCATAGGCTTCAAGAGCGGAGCTCCTCAAGGAAAAAAGACGCTCATACACTGGGTAGCGCTAGTGCCTTTTCTTTAAGCCCCACCACCAACAAACAAGTTGAGTGTCTGGTAACTAGTAGCAATCTGAAATACGCTGAGAAAACAGATTACTGAGGTGAAATGGAATCTGCTACGGCACTCTTGCCGTCTGTGTACGCCACAGGTCAGTATCGCCACAGGTCAGTGTGGGTGGGTGGGTGCTTGTGTATGTGTTCTCATTTTTGTTAAGAGGCTGAAAAGTAACTTTCTAGAGCATAGACTACCTCCATCTAGTGATGTCGGTCTATTGATTTTGATGTATTGATTGAAAATTGTTCATTATTATCTTGGTTAATTAACATCTAATGTTAACTGTACTACATTTTATAGCAGTAGGGTAAAATGCTTGTCTTTGTTCAAAAGACTGTATTAACTGTAAAGACTGTCTTTTACATCAGCCTGTTTTCAGGGCCTTTTTTTTGGCTACATATTTGTTATTTTTTGCTATATGCCTCCCCATCTTCTTGCCATATGTTTCTATGGCATAAATCAGTGTCTGTGACCTGTTTTCATTTAAAAAAAAGAAGATTGGCACAAACCTAGCCTGTATGTATTTTTTTGTATGTCATTGAGAGTATTTAAATCATTTTCAATCAGGAAAAAAATGTGCGATTAAAATGCGATTAATCGCGAGTTAACTTAGGCATTGATGCGATTAATCGCGATTTAAAAAATTTAATCGATTGACAGCACTAATATATATATATATATATATATATATATATATGTATGTATATATATATATATATATATATATATATATATATATATATATATGTATATATATATAAAATCCTAACATACCATATTTCTCCACTTTGAAGGTGTGAGAGCTCGTATCTCCACCCATTTTCACATTGATTTTATAGATTCCTTCACGGGCTTCAGAGTTTAAGGGGTAGGAAAGCTGCAGGATTTTGCTGTTAGATGCTTGATTGAACCATTGTCCAATCCTGTTCCTGTGAGAATCCTGTTAAGTCAGAAAAATCACAGCGAAAGATGAACAATCAGAGACCTTTGATCATTTTTTCTGAAGGCCTTTTAATAAAAAAAATAAAATAATTTTAATGAAAGTTCTAATAAGTTGAAAAAGTGTCCTCTGGGGAAAATACTTTTCACTGTTCAACGTCATCCCATTGGACTAGCTTTATTTGCTTTATTTTTTAGGTTTGTGTACACAAAGGATTTTGACCTTTGCTACAATATTTTAATATATGATGCTTCTTTTCTAGATCTACTCATGTACAGTACTTCAGTTTTAAGTCTCTGAATGAAATCCAGCAAACCTTTTAGGACTCCAGTCTGTGTGTTTGTGTGTTTGTCTTCCTTCCTCCACCAGGAGGCGCCTGGTTTTGGTCCGCCTCCTCACACACCTGCTGATGGTTTCCTCGTTAACGGAGTGTTCTTAAGCTGCTGATAGCCACTACCTCTAAGCCAGAGTGTTTGCCAGTTTTGGGTACTCTAGCCAAGCTGAGTTTTGCTTAGTCAAACCGAGTTTTTGTCAGCCTGAGTCTTAACATTGCTTTTTGTCTTTGCCTCTCGGCAGGAAGTCCTCCTGCAAACTGGATTTTTCTGACTTTCTCTCCCTGGAAGGATCAACTGAGCTTCAAACTGAACTAAGGAAACAAACAAGAGGTGTGGATCCACTTTTCCCAGAGGAAACGTTTGAGCTTCACACTGAGCAAGGGATTCATCTTCACAACAGTCCGTTCAAGTAAATCTGAGTGGCAGTCAGTCTTTCTCCGATCATCTACAAGCAACCGCATTCTGGGTAACCCTGTCCTCCCTTCACTGCATGAGACAAACACCGGAACACATTCCTCACCTACTGGAGTCTAAGAGTCAACCTAATCTCTGGAAACGTGAGTCTGCCAACCTTTTCTCCTCTTCAAGTCCGAGAATGAATTCTCCCACCGAACCTGAACTAACCGCAGTGTCTTCCCCTCACCTTTCAGTTCCGGTTGAGCCGAGTTCAGAGCAACACTGGAATCTCCACCAAACTTCTCAATAAACCTGTTAAACAAAGTCTCCTGACTTGAATAAAGCCGCTATATAAGTACATGCCATTTACTATTTACCATTTAAACTTTTTCCCTTGTCTCTCTGGGCTGGTTTATCTGCATGTGGGTCTGAGCTCTTGATAAAATCATGACAGAACCGGCAGAAGTGTTGGCAGTAAACCTGTTCATGTGCTTGGCTGGTCAATGCAAATCAAATAATGCATTTTTATTTAAATCCAGGAGGTAAGTGAGACACTATGCCAATGGAACAAGACTATTAACATTTAAAATAAGAAAAAAAAAGCAATTTCATTGTCTTATTTCAAGTGTATATTATCCAATGACCTTATTTTAAGACTAAAGATACTCATTCTATTGGCAAATAATCTTAATTACCTACTACTTAAGGATAAATACACTTAATCTAAGACATTTTGACTTATTTGTAGATAATTTTGCAGTGCAGTGTGTTACCAACAGAAAAAAGGCCCAGTATTAGTTTTGTCTTGCTAGTTGTTTCCTCAGCTAACAAGGTGTTTGTTACAATGTTTGATTTAAACATAGTAGCTTCATCTGGTCTGTTCCTGTTTGGCTGTGACTCCATCCTGGAGAGAAATATCAGCTGTGCTGCTGCCATCAACACCTTTGTTTCTAGATGTTGGAGATCAGCCTGTTTTTAAGTGAAGTCCTGTTTCTCTGACTGTGACTAACTGGATGTGCTCTCTTCATCCTCTGACATGGGAGCTGGCTCGGAGCTCGTCTGCCTGGCTGTGTGTTTCCTGGATGGGGCCGCCTGTGGAGCTGGTTGACAGTTGCCTTTTGTATCTATGCTTCTTTTTCTATGTCTGCTTCTGTCTCCTTGAACCCCAGTGGGCCTCAGCAGATGGCCGCTCACACTGAGCCTGGTTCTGCTGGAGGTTTCTTCCCGTTAGAAGGGAGTTTTTCCTCTCCACTGTGGCTACAAGCATGCTTAGTGTGAGGGATTGCTGAAGAGTCAATGAGTCGATGCAATCAGCTGGTTTTCCTTAGATAGAAACTTTGAATCAATCTGACTGGATGATCTGGTGAACTGGAAAGTGACCTGAGATGACATGATGTGAATTGGAGCTATAGAAATAAACTGAATAGAATTGAAACCTATACTGGAAGAGTTTTGTTCAGAAGCTGGTTTTAGATTTGAGATTTAGCTCTTTTGTACCAAGGTTCATTTTCCTTCTCAAACATTACAGGTGCTGGTCATAAAATTAGAATATCATGAAAAAGTAGATTGATTTCAGTAATTCCATTTAAAAAGTGAAACTTGTATATTATATTCATACATTACATACAAACTCATATATTTCAGATGTTTATTTTGTTTAATTTTGATGATTACAAATGACAACAAATGAAAATCTCAAATTCATCATATCAGAAAATTAGAATATTGTGAAAAGGTTCAAAATTGATGGCCCCTGGTGCCACACTCTAATCAGCTAATTAACTCAAACCACCTGCAAAAGCCTTTAAATGGTCTTTCAGTCTAGTTCTATAGGCTACACAATCATGGGGAAGACTGCTGACTTGACAGTTGTCCAAAAGACGACCATCGACACCTTGCACAAGGAGGGCAAGACACAAAAGGTCATCGCTAAAGAGGCTGGCTGTTCACAGAGCTCAGTGTCCAAGCACATTAATAGAGAGGCGAAGGGAAGGAAAAGATGTGGTCGAAAAAAGTGTACAAGCAAGAGAGATAACCGCACCCTGGAGAGGATTGTGAAACAAAACCCATTCAAAAATGTGGGGGAGATTCACAAAGAGTGGACTGCAGCTGGAGTGAGTGCTTCAAGAACCACCACACACAGACGTATGAAAGACATGGGTTTCTGCTGTCGCATTCCTTGTGTCAAGCCACTCTTGAACCACAGACAGCGTCAGAAGCGTCTAAAGAGAAACAGGACTGGACTGCTGGTGAGTGGTCCAAAGTCATGTTCTCTGATGAAAGTAAATTTTGCATTTCCTTTGGAAATCAAGGTCCCAGAGTCTGGAGGAAAAGAAGAGAGGCACTTCATCCACGTTGCTTGAAGTCCAGTGTAAAGTTTCCACAGTCAGTGATGGTTTGGGGTGCCATGTCATCTGCTGGTGTTGGTCCATTGTGTTTTCTGAGGTCCAGGGTCAACGCAGCCACATACCAGGAAGTTTTAGAGCACTTCATGCTTCCTGCAGCTGACCAACTTTTTGGAGATGCAGATTTCATTTTCCAACAGGACTTGGCACCTGCACACAGTGCCAAAGCTACCAGTACCTGGTTGAAGGACCATGCTATCCCTGTTCTTAATTGGCCAGCAAACTCTCCTGACCTTAACCCCATAGAAAATCTATGGGATATTGTGAAGAAGAAGATGCAATACACCAGACCCAACAATTCAGAAGAGCTAAAAGCCACTATTAGAGCAACCTGGGCTATCATAACACCTGAGCAGTGCCACAGACTGATCGACTCCATGCCACGCCGCATTGCTGCAGTAATACAGGCCAAAGGAGGCCCAACTAAATACTGAGTGCTGTACATGCTCATACTTTTCATGTTCATACTTTTCAGTTGGCCAACATTTCTATAAATCCTTTGTTTTTATTGGTCTTCAGTAATATTCTAATTTTCTGATATGATGAATTTGTGATTTTAATTTGTTGTCATTTGTAATCATCAAAATTAAACAAAATAAACATCTGAAATATATGAGTTTGTATGTAATGTATGATTATAATATACAAGTTTCACTTTTTAAATGGAATTACTGAAATCAATCTACTTTTTCATGATATTCTAATTTTATGACCAGCACCTGTAAGCTCCTGCTTTGGTTGTTTGCATCCTGTGTAGCTATTTAAACCCTGTGCTTTTGCTTTATGTAGTACAGTGTGGTTTGCTATAGATGTAACAAAAACAAGTATATTTAAATGTTTGTGTTTAAGACAGGAAAAGTGCAGATAATCTTACCTCAAGTTCAATGAAGTTGTACTGTTGGACAAAGAAGGGAAAAAAGAAAGTGTTTCAAACTTTAAAAATTAAACAACATGATTAACATAGAAAGTTTCTTTTTCAATATGGTATTTAATCTATATGCTTTAAATGGATTACTTTATACTTACTGTGTATATTATGCAGAAAATAATAAATAAACAGTTTTTAAAATCTCGGCAAAAAAAAGGGACAAGGACAGAGGGGGGCCCAAAATTTACGCACGTTATTTTTCAGAAAATATTTGTCAGAAAAATATTTAATATTAGAGTGACTAAATATATATATATATATATATATATATATATATATATATATATATATATATATATATATATATATATATATATATATATATATATATATATATATATATATATATATATATATATATATATATATATTTGTATTAGGTATATATAACATACCTAATGCAAATCAAGTCTGGACATAGTTTACTGCTGTATAAGAGGACCCTTTGTAAAGCAAGAGCAGCATACTTCTCCTCATTAATAGAGGAGAATAAGAATAATCTTAGATTTCTTTTTAGTAGAGTTGCCAAACCCACCCAGAGCCATAGCTCTGTTGAACCGTCCATCCTACCTGCTCTTAGCAGTAATGATTTTATGGGATTCTTTATAAATAAGATTGATCTTATTAAAAATAAGATCATTAGCATTCCTCTATCCGCGATTGGTTTGTCTCTGGAGGGTGAGGCAGCATCTGAGGTAGTCATGGAATCTGAAGTGGGTTTAGACTGCTTTGATCAAGTTGAACTTTCAGAGTTAGCAAAACTATTGTCTTCATCTAAGCCTTCAACTTGGATGTTAGATCCAGTTCCAACCAGGTTATTTAAGGAGGTATTCCCTTTGATCTCTTTCTCCATTTTAGATGTGATTAATCTATCTCTGTTACAGGGATATGTACCAAAGGCTTTTAAGGTTGCTGGAATTAAACCTTTGATTAAGAAAACCTCTCTTGACCCAGATGACTTGGTCAATTATAGACCTATATCCAATCTTCCTTTCTGATCTAAAATGTTTGAGAAAGTAGTTGCCAAACAAGTTTGCGATCACTTCCACCATAATGAACTTTTTGAAGAGTTTCAATCTGGCTTTAGAGCTCACCATAGCACTGAAACAGCTCTGGTGAAAGTCACTAATGATATTCTCATGGCCTCAGATAATGGACTTGTATCTGTGCTCGTCCTGTTGGATCTCGCATTTGATACAGTCGACCATAATATTCTTTTAGAAAGACTTGAATATTTTGTTGGAATTAAAGGAACAGCACTAGACTGGTTTAAATCTATCTGATCGAATTAAGTTTGTTCATGTTAATGATAGATCTTCCTCATGCTCAAAGGTTACCTGTGGAGTACCACAGGGATCAGTGCTAGGACCAATTCTCTTTACTTTATATATGCTCCCAATCGGTAGAATTATTAGACAGCATAAGATTAATTTTCACTGTTATGCTGATGATACCCAGCTATATCTGTCTATAATCCAGATGAAGCTAACCCATTACATAGATTACAGGCATGTCTGAAGACATAAAAACCTGGATGACTCTTAACTTTCTGCTTCTGAATGCAGACAAAACAGAAGTTATAGTCTTTGGACCAGAGTCTTTGAAAAAGAAACTGATTAGTCAGTCACTTCATTTGGATGGGATTAAACTGATTTCAGATAATAAAGTAAAAAAATCTTGGTGTTATTTTTGATCAGGACCTGTCATTTAAATCCCATATCAAAGAGGTTTCTAGAATTTCCTTCTTTCATCTGAGGAACATTGCAAAAATGAGCAATCTCCTGTCCAGGGGTGATGCTGAGAAACTAGTCCATGCATCTGTTACTTCAAGGCTGGACTATTGTAATTCTTTACTATCAGGAAGTCCACAAACTGTAGTTAAAATCCTTCAGCTGATCCAAAATGCTGCAGCCAGAGTTCTGATGAAAATGAAAAAGAGAGATCATATCTCTCCTATCCTGGCTTCTCTTCATTGGCTTCCTGTTAAATCCTGAATAGAATTTAAAATCCTCCTTCTCACATATAAAGCCTTAAATGGCCAAGCTCCATCTGATATCAGAGATCTGATTGTTCCTTATGTTCCTAACAGAGCACTTCGCTCTCAATCTGCAGGTTTACTAGTGGTTCCTAGAATTTCTAAAAGTAGAATGGGAGGCAGATCTTTTAGTTATCAGGCTCCTCTCCTGTGGAACCAGCTACCAGTTTTAGTCCGTGACACCTGGTAGGCTCCATACACAATTGTAGGCTATGACATCTCTTCGCAGATGTAATGATAAGAAAAAATCCAATTTGAACCCACCTGATACTTAAGTGAGTGTCCGCACTGGACCGTATTTATGTAGCAACACATGTCAGATTTCAACAGGATGGTGAGCCGTTTAAACACGACACCATCCTGTTTTAATTACTATATTAGTAACTGTGTATAGTTCATTAGATGGTTGGTAAAAAATACACTCCTATAATGTTTCAAACCGCGATAAAGATCTTAAAAGTACAATGTACTTGAGTATTTTAGTTTTTACACTGCACCTTGGAATTATGGGTAACCCAGAGCGTAGATAAGCGTCTCCCTGAAATGAGTTTTAGGAAGTTGGGAAGTCTGTAATGTGGTGTTGCGCTGCCACCATGAATTGTGAGGTGTCATCATATATTACTAAGAATTTTGTAATTGTGTCCTCTTGGCCGATTTTTGAACTGTATGGGGCCCACCCAGATAATGTTGCTCATGGGCTTATTGTTGGGTCGTTACACTATTACCATAACATCAGTCAAGCATCCTGTTTGGGTTTTTTTCAGACAACAAAGGAATCTGTGTAGTTGTTGAAAGGAAGAGCAACATTTGGCCACTTACCAGCTGATTAATTGGTCTTAACTTTGAATCCATTGAGACCACTCTGAACTGAACTATGGGAAGATTATATGAAGGTATTAGACAGACTGTGATTAAACAAAGTATTTATATAATCTGAAATCATCATTAAAGGTTTGTCAAAGAGAACATTGACCGAGTTACCTGTCTGTCCAGGGAGGTAGATGGGTTTGTCCGTTTGGATCAGGTGTACTGGTCGGTAGACTTTGATCATGACTTTTCTGACTTCTTTAGAGTTAAACGTGTTTCCTCGTACCTCCACCTCAAACATGGCCACCTTTTCATTTTCCAGTAAAGGGACCTGTGGCAGAAAAAACAAAAGAAAAAAAATAAACATGACACTCTGATTGGTGACAGAATTTTTTTGTTTTTGTTTAGCAGTTATATTTGAAATCTTAAATAAATGTTTTATTTTTATCTGAGCAAATAAAGTCTTTCTTGAAAGTTGACCTGAAACTGGATGCATTCGAGAAACTCCTCCCTGGAGGTCCTCTCATAAAGGACTGAATGGTTTTGGTCAGACCTCATAGAGACAGTCATGGTCAGAGTCTCACTGGGATCAATGAGACTTGCACAGAATTTGGTCTCAGTTCCAGCTTCAAGAATAGCAGGAATGGTCACCATGTAATGTCTGCAGACAAAATCACAATAACAGCTGTAATCTCGATGGTTTAAACCCAATCAACAAAAACTTTATTTAAACCATATTAATTATATTTATAAAAGGTTTATATAAACTTACGGCCTGGCCACTGTTGGACCAACAAACATCCCACATAAGAAGACCCACAAGGTACATGTCCACATCTGGTTCCCTGGACGACCCATGGCTGACTGGGTTGATCCTGAGTCAGTAACTATTAAATAGCAGGTAAGTAAAACTCCTCCCAACTTCAGTCTCACAGGGCAGACCTCCCACACACTGCAGGTTATCTGGTCAATACATGAATGTCATTCCTCCATATATGTAGTTATCAACAGATGTTTTATTTGATCAGATAACAAAAGTTCAACATACCCCAGTTAACCACAAAACAAAACTAGTCTTTGTGATTTTAATCATTTTAACATTTTATTTATAACACAAATACAAGGATTCCTAATTATGGAAGCTTCAAAAAATTTTTAATTCCAGCCTTTCAAATAGAAAATAGGGAAGTTTAACCCAGAGCTCAGTTGGAGCCAATTTTCTGCTGCTGTCTGTTTGCCCTGCTCTGAAACTGCAAAGGTCAGAGTGCTTAAGGTTTAGTTTACTGAACAGTCAGTAGTTGTTGACTGTCTAGAGAAAGCTTGTTTTTTTACTGTTCCTTTTAAGTATTTTCAGTTGTTTAGATGTTTCTATTTGCATTAAGAAGTTAATGTTGTGATTTACTTTGGTTGATAAAACTCAATATTAACCCTTTATACGACACTCAGGCAAACACTTTGAGAATCAAAATTTCAAGCCAATAGTGTTATTAGAATCCATAATAATAATAAGAAACACCAACTTGCCTGAATATATATAAATAACAAAAGTGCTTCTAGAGGAAATTCATGAAAAACACTCAGAGTGAAAGAAAAACATTTTTTGGACCAATATAACCTTGGAGCAGGGGTCACCAACCATTTCAAGGCTGAGGGCTACTTCATGGCTATTGAATCATTGGAAGGGCAACCAATACCTATGAACAAGAGGGGTAAGCGTTGACCTAAACTTCATCCAAATTAAACACATTTTTATTGTTAACTTTTAATTTCTAATTTTCCTTTAAACCTTATAATTTTAAAATCTCTATAAATGCTAAAATGCCCTATATGATTACTATGATGAAATGCTCTATAAATGATTAAAAAGAAGAGTCACAGGATAAAATACAATTTCAAATTTAGCCCACTGCTGAGTTGCTGTTTTCAGAAGGCGTTGAGGACACCCCATGTGGTCCTCAAGGGCCCCTTGGTGCCCGCGGGCACCGCGTTGGCGACCCCTGCCTTAGAGGCATTGATGCTGATACTGGCACTGACATTTTTTGACCTAAATATCATTTTTAACTAGGCTTATTAACTTGGGGGACTCCATTTGTAAGGGGAATGCAAGTGATCAAAAACGCTAACTTGTCCTATAAAGGGTTAGGTCAATTCCATCTGAAATATAGGACAGGACAAGTACAGATACAAGTTAGGTTCTATGGCTACCCCAGATGCTACCTCACCTTCCAGAGATAAACCAATCATAGTAGGAGGAGTGCTAATGATCTTATTTTTAATAAAAATAAATTTTATTTATAAAGAATCCCATAAAATCATTCCAGCTAAAAGCAGGTGGGATGGACGGTTCAACAGAGCTATGGCTCTGGGTGAATTTGGCAACTGGATTCAGAAGAAATCTAGGAGTGGGGAGTGGCGGCCTAGTTGTTAGGACATAGAGCTTGGAATCCTGAGGTTGTGAGTTTGCAACCCACTCCCACAGACTGCCACTTTGGGTCTCTAATCAATACCCTTAACCCTACACTGCTCCCCGGGCACTGCACAATGGCATTCCACTGCTCCCCAAGGGGATAGGTTAAATGCAGACGTAAATGTCTCTTCTATTAATTCAGAGAAATATGCTGCTCTTGTCCTATGAAGGGTCCTCTTATACAGCAGTAAACAGTTTTTTTCCAATTAGGTCAAACTCCTATAGGCATGTAGAGTGCCATATTCTTTTGTATTCTAATTTTAAAGTGTTTTCTTTTTCAAGAGGCTGTGTTGTCTAGGGGAATAAACACAGAAAAAAAGCAAACTGATCATCAATTCATAAACCTGTGAAGTGGAATGAATTAAATGTTTGCCCTTCACTGTATTGTCCGGTGATACAGAGGTAATAGAAATTGGAGCAGCTTCTTTAAAGGTTATTCTGAATTGATAATGATCGGATAAAAACTTTCTTTTGGGGGAGGGGATCTCTGTTGAAATATTTTGGACGTAAATAAAAAAGGATCATGTTTTTTTTATTTTTTTTTCAGTCAATTTAAAAACATCCTACTAGATTTGCTCCTTTAGAAACTAAAGAAGAATGAAGTGGACACCTCAACAATTGTTTAAATGGAAGACAACCTGCCGAACAGACCACAGTTTGTGAGACTAAAGAGTCACGTGTCAAATCAATTAAATCAGCAGCAGGGCGCTCTCTACACATCTGAATTTTAGCATGAGACAAACTCCTGTCGTCAGCTGAAATATTTTAATGACTGAATTTGTTGGGTGCATCAGCAGATGTGTTTCCCTCAATGTTTTTCAAGTGCATTTTGAAGTATCACATTATAAGAGCTTAAAGGAAAAGTCGCTCACATTCAGAATTAAAACTTCTGAAAGTTCTTTAAATCTGAAATGATTCCATCCTGTTCAATAAATGATCAGTGTTTTTAATTCAGAGTAATTTTCATGTGAATGTGCTTTACTGGAGGCATCCATGTTTGTCAAAGAACACTACTGCCACCTACTGGTTAGTGACGTCACGGTGCGGTATCGGCTGTTGATCAAGTCCCAGTGCTGTATCTGGTGTTTGTCACAACGCGCTATTATCCAAGTCATCTTGAAAACATTCTTCTTCCAAATGTTGGCTACATATTACGGGTTTTTTCTCTGGCCAGAAGTTCGATGGCAAATCCTCCCTCTTCAAGTTGGCGATCCAACGACCAACCCGTCCGTGGAGGATCAGGAATCAGAGAGGTGGAATAACTCTTTTTTTCCACTTTTCCCCGATGTATTCCAGCATCCAGCTGCCATGCACGTGGGCATTGTCAGTTTCACTATAGCTCTGGTGAATTTCAATGGTGAAGTCCTCTGGAAATCTTCAATAATTGTTGTTGATTGCAGATGTGTCTAGTAGTTCCCATTGATTTAGCTTGGAAAGCGGGGAGAATGGCGCTAGGCTTACCGCACCGTGATGTCACTGCTGGAAGATGGCAGGAGGGAGTGACTACTATATTTGGGCAAAAATGGCCGCTCCCAGACTCAGTGATCGTGATGAAAATTCTTGATTTTTTTTTTTCTGATTAACGCTGAATTAATTAAATCATTGCGAATGTATTAGTTTTATGTAAAAAATAATGATCCATCGATTATTCTCCTTTAATGGAAACAGCAAAATTTAAATAAACTGTCCAGACAATTGACTGGATTGGAGAAGCAGTTATGAAACCAGTAGAAGAAGCTTAGATCCTCAGTGTTTGCAGCAAGATGCTGATCTCTACTTCTATGGTCCTTTCGGGTAGCAGATTCAGGAAATGGCATAAAGAAGCTCAACAAGCCGATAAAGAAGGCTGTTTCCATCAGGGGAACTTCCTAGAACCTCCAGAGACGACTTCACAAAGAATTGTTCTTAATCTGAAGAAAATTATGGACAACCCATAGCAACCTCTTCATTACCCTGTCCTAAAACATTAGTGTCTAAAAAATGGCAAGCAGTTTTTGGTTAACTACTATTTAAGGAAGTGTCAGTTTGCATCGAGTTTTATTCTTGTTATCCATCTTAAAAAAAGTTGTTGTCCCTTATTTTTTAGCAGAGGGTGTTGCAACATGTATTAACGAGCAGCAAGTGTGTGCGTGCATTGAGATAGCCTCAGATCATAAGAGGCAAAGGAGTTTGTTTGACCTTTGTTGCAACACACAGTGTAGTCTGCAACAGAGTCTGAACTCTGGTCAGTGTTCATAAATCATTAGGCAGAGATGCAGCTTTACACAGTCATCGAATTGATTGAATCTACATCTGAAGCATTTTCGAGGCCTTTAACCTGCCAAAACTGCATGTAAAGGAAAGTCGCAGTGTTCATGTCAACTTCTCAGATCAAATTTCTGCACATTTACAAAATCTAATTTAGTCATTTGGTTAATATTAAAGTATTTAGAAAACAATTTGATAGGAATATATGGAAGGTATTTCCTTAGAATGAGAGGTTAGAATAATTAACTCAGGGGTCTCAAATCGTTGACAAACACTGAGTTGTAGGTTTAAAGAAAGACATAAGCAGTGCAATTAAGATATCCTCTACTACTGCCTCTTTATCATTGTGTTGAAAGAGTGACCCTCTTCATCCTTCTGCTTCATTCTATCTCTATTCTCCCACTCTGTAGAATCTGTTAGTTCAATCTCTAACGTTCTGCTCTCTCCTTTTTCTCATAGTAGCTTCATCTGGTCATTTCAAAAAAGAAAATCAAAATCAAATCCTCTGGACTTTGTTTCCAAGTTTGAAGACGTTTCTCTTCCATCCAGGAAGCTTTTTCAATTCAAAATGTCAGAAATAGCGTTTAGTTCCAGGTTTTTTACAGAAAAACCTTGTTTTTCTTTAGAACAACGCAGCATTAGACTTGATCCTCACCTGCGGCCAGATGATTAACCCTAAATAGATACATTGATCCACTACCATTCTAGAAATAAACCCATGATGTTATCGTGGTTACAACAGGCTATGGCAATGACCCTAATGACTCCCTTTGCAGAGGCATAGACCAGTATCGGGTATTGTTTTCTAAGCAACAACAGGGCTTTGTTGGGCTACTCTATAAAGCCTGAACTCAGCTCTATTCTAGAAATTTTGAATTGAGAAAGTTTCCTGGATGGGAAGCAAAACATCTTGAACTTTGGAAAAAAAATCCAACAAAATATATTATTATAGTTCAGTCTAGGAGTGTGAATTTGATCAGGAAGAATCTTATTTTAGTGATCTACAAATGGAACAACATAGTGGAGAATGCTTTTAATAAATGTAAAAACGTCATATAAACTTACACTTTAACTTACAGAGTAAAAAGTCTTGATCATGGTATCTGAAGGTTTTATTAAAAGGATGCAATTGGTTTATTTTGCAGGTTTTTCTGTTCCTACTGACGTGTTTAACTGTCAAATAAATATACGATAATTCAGGAGTCATATCTTGTTAAAACTACATATCTAATTCTATTCAGTTTATTTCTATATTGCCAATTCACAACACATGTCATCTCAAGGCACTTAGTCACATTGATTCAAAGTTTTCTTTCTAAGGAAAACAAGCTGATTGCTGCGACTCATTGACTCAAATGCTTGTAGCGACAGTGGAGAGGAAAAACTTCCTTTGAACAGGAAGAACCCTGAAAAAGAACATGAAATATAATACTTGTGATAAGTCTTTACTAATTAGTTTCCTGCTTCTATCAGTTAATTGAATAAATCATTTGATTAACATGCTAATATCCAAAAAAAAAAGTTCAGGCATAAATCCTTACTGCACTGAAAATACAGCATAGTAGCAAGAGAACTTACCACAAATCATATAAGAGCAATTACCACTGTCCAGTTCTGTTTGAATGAACAAATTTTATTGATCCAAAGGGGTAAATAAATGTTGTCATCTACTCAGTTTCCCGTAATCTCCTAAAGACCTGTTTTTTGTTACAAACTCAAACTTCCCTCTCTGTTTAAAGGGCACTGTTGCACAACTGCACTTACTGTAAGGCCAATATGTTCATCCAAAAACACGGACTGTTGATGTGGGGTGTATCAATAAGAAAAAAAAACTGAGCACAAATGTCTACAGTAGCCATTCAAAATTTCCCTACTTTCCTTGATGGGTCCTTGGCTGGTCCTCTAAGATTCGTCTTTTTAAACAGGAATCTTTTTACTAAAATATTCTTTCTGTCATGATTTGTGGTCATTAAGATCTAAAAAAAAAAAAGCATCATCTCCTGGTCAGACCCTCCATCATCTGCTGGGGTAAGAACATCAGAGAAAATAACCTAAAGAAGCTCGACAGGCTGATAAAGAAGGTCAGCTCTGTTCTAAGAACCCCTCTAGAACCTCTGGAGATTATTTCACAGTAATAAAAGGAACATTTTTGACAACATCCAGCATCTTTTTCATCAGAACAAAAACAACGGAGATGGTGGAAAATTGCCAAAATTATTATCTTGCTGCTATTATTTCAAATTTTGTTATATTCATTATCTCCTCCTACTTGGGATAAAACACATCTGGTTGCTATAGTTCTGCATCATGAAAAACATATCAGCTATATACTGCAAAAAAATGGAAATCTCAATAAGTAATTTCTTTGTAAAGAAAGAACTTTTTCTTGAACTGAGGAGGTGTGTGAGCCACTTTGACAATGGAACAAGAACATCTACATTTAAAATCAGAAAAACAATTACAGTCTCTTATTTTTAGTGAATATTATCTAATTATCTTATTTTAAGAGTAAAAAAACTAATTCCATTGGCATATCATCTTATTGGCCTACCCAAATTAAGGTCAAATACACTTAATTAAATTTTTACTTATTTTTAGGTTGTTTTTCCAGTGAATGCCTCAGTGTAAGAGAGCAAAGCGATTTTGTCCTTTAGAGACAGAAAATCCAAGTTTAGCTGAACTTATTAATGGCTTAACCCTTTATAGGGCACTCAGTGGAAATACTTTTAGAAGGGCCGGGGGCTTTTTCATCCATTTTCTTTATCTTTAATAGGGACCGGGTCGTGGAGGCAGCAGTCTAAGCAGAGATGCCCAGACTTCCTGATCAACACACACCTCCTCCAGCTGCTCCCTGAGCCGACACCAGGCCAGCTCAGAGACATCGTCCCTCCAGCGTGTCCTGGTCCTTTCACCAGGCCTCCCCCTAATGGGACATGCCTGGAACACCTCCCGAGGGAGGCGACAAGGAACAGATGCCAAAGCCTCCTCAGCTGGCTCCTTTTGACGTGGAGGGGCAGCGACTCTACCCCAAGCTCCTCACCCGATCTAGAAGGGTGCGCCCAGCCACCCTGTGATGGAAACTCATTCCAGCCGCTTGTATTTGTGATCTTGTCCTTTCGGTCATTACCCAGATCTTATGACCATAGGTGAGGGTGGGAACGTAGATTGATCTGTAAATTTTGCCCCCCGACTGAGCTCCCTCTTCAGCACGACAGTCCGATACAGCGACCGCATCACTGCCGACGCCGCACCTATCTGTCTCACTTGTAAACAAGACCCCGAAATATTTGAACTTCTCCACTTGAGACAAGGGCTCTCCACCAACCTGAAGAGGGGAGTCCACCTTTCTCCAGTGGAGAACCATGGCCTCGGATTTGGAGGTGCTGATGCTCATACCGACTGCCCCAGACTCGGAAGCAAACCGCCCCAGTGCATGCCGAAGGTCCTGGTTTGATGAGGCCAACAGGACAACATCATCTGCAAACAGCAGAGATGATATCCTGAAATTCCCAAACTGGTCACCCTCCGGTCCCTTAGCCTGGGTGCCATTCCGAACTTAGTCCCGCCCACAAAGTTTGAGGTCGGGAAGTTCGGTCTGGCATTGCTCCATAGTAGCGCGAGTACATTATGATCGCCCACTCTCTGGCGATCCAATCAAATTGTCAGGGCGGGCTTTATACGATGATGGACAGATGATCAACAGTAACGTAATCAACCACGTGACCAAAGCGCTCTTGGGTGACAACAACAATGGCTGCCGCCGGAGAGTTGAGGTGAGTAGATTCTGTTATTAGGTCTGTTCTAGAAGATATCGACAGCAAATTAATTTTAAAAGAGGAACAGAGAAACCCGATCAAGTCTCATCTTCTTATTCTAGGCGTGCAACTGCACGCTTTGATTTTTGTTGACAACAGCTATGCCTCGCTTAACATACGTCACGCACTCCGTTGCTCTTATTGGTTGTAGGTCTATCCAATTGAGTGCAGAGGCATTTTTTTTTCCTGGTTCGTTCGAAACACGCCCCATAATCACAGCTCTATAGAGCAGTATCAGAGTCATATTCTGACTAGAATTGAGTAGGACTACGTCAGGCTACCGGTCCCTGGCTGTGCCTAGAAATTCTGTCGATAAATGTAATAAACAGAACCATTGATAATGGGCAGCCCTGGCAGGGACCAACATGCTGGGAGAGATACGCTTAGATAAAACAGGAATGTGGCCAGAATCTCTCGGCCTTTTCAGTGGGTTTGCATCTGAATGGGTCTGATGGAAGCTGAGATCTTCCTCTGCAATTTATGCTTCTATCAATGATTTAGTTAAACATAACTTGAATAAATTCTGGAAATGCTTAAACATGTTTCCTCCTTTGTGTAAGCTATCTTAGAAACAATACCTCCATGGATATTTTTGTGTTTCATCCAGATAATTCATTTCTTTGTGGTTGGACTGGGTGCTGCACCAACTTGTTCACCACATACCAAAATACATGACTTTTTCAAAATGATGCCAAGTTAAATTTGACACTGTTACCATTAGTTATGAAACTAAGAAAATGAAGTCTAAGGAAGTTATCATCCAGAATGGTAGAAGAATGTTCCTTTAATAGGGTAGAGCAGTAAAGCTTCTGGCCTGAACAGTTTTTCCTGCACTACTTTTACTTTTATACTTTAAGTAGTTTTAAAAATGGTACTTTTACATTTTTACTGGAGTAAAAAGCTGAAGTTGATCCTCTAACTTCTACAAAAGTGTTTTTAAACAGCAGGATTTATACTTCTACTGGAGTAATAAACATGAATACTTTGGACACCTCTGCATGTAAGACATTTTATTACCTTATGAACATTTGAAAATATTTCAAATCTATTTCAAAAAGGAGCCTTTAAAACGCCTTGTATGAAGAGTAAACAACTTTATTTTTCTTTTTGATTGATCTGTGGGCAAAGTCTTCGTCACACTGACCTTTGCAATTTCAAAGAATAAACAGACAGCAGCAGAAGATTGGCTCTGACTGAACTCTGGGTTCAACTTCCCTGTTTTCTATTCGAAAGTATAGAATTCAGGTTTTGTTGAAACTTCTTTAATCATCTTGTATCTGACTTGCTAAATAAAAAAATGGAAACTATATTTATAGTTTTGTTTGTGGTCAACTGATGCATTTTATTATTATTGACCTGATGACCGGATCAAGCATCTGTATGTAGAAAATGCTTACATTCATGTATGTCGATCAATCAGCTGGTTTTCCTTAGATAGAAAACTTTGAATCAATCTGACTGGATGATCTGGTGAACTGGAAAGAGACCTGAGATGACGTGAATTGGAGCTATAGAAATAAACTGAATAGAATTGATGTATTACCCAGATATCAGCAGGAGCATAATGTGCTGTCCTTTTTTACTCAGTGACAGTAAATCTGGGAGGAGTTTTCCTTATCAGCATCTATTTAATAGTTACTGACTCAGGATCAGTGCAGTCAGCCATGGGTCGTTCAGGGAACCAGATGTGGACATGTACCTTGTGGGTCTTCTTATGTGGGATGTTTGTTGGTCCAACAGTGGCCAGCCCGTAAGTTAAAATAAATTTTTTCTAAATATGATAATGTATGGTTTAAATATATATTTTTGTTGATTGGGTTTAAACCATCGAGATTACAGCTGTTACTGTGATTTTGTCTGCAGACATTACATGGTGACCATTCCTGCTATTCTTGAAGCTGGAACTGAGACCAAATTCTGTGCAAGTCTCATGGATCCCAATGAGACTCTGACCATGACTGTCTCTATGAGGTCTGACCAAAACCATTCAGTCCTTTATGAGAGGACCTCCAGGGAGGAGTTTCTCGAATGCATCCAGTTTCAGGTCAACTTTCAAGAAAGACTTTATTTGCATCACATAATAAAAAAAACAGTTATTTGAAATTTAAAATTCAAGATTTTGATGTTTTATTCTTGCTGCTACAGGTCCCTTTACTGGAAAATGAAAAGGTGGTCATGCTTGAAGTGGAGGTACGAGGAAACACGTTTAACTCTAAAGAAGTCAGAAAAGTCATGATCAAAGTCTACCAACCAGTACACCTGATCCAAACGGACAAACCCATCTACCTCCCTGGACAGACAGGTAATTGAAATCTGTTTGTTTGTTTTCTTTGACAAACCATTAATCATGGTTTCAAATATGAATACTTTGTTCAATCACTTTTTGCCTAAAACTCTTATATAATCTCTGACGTCTCCCATAGTTCAGTTCAGAGTGGTTTCAATGGATACAAAGTTAAGACCAATTGATCAGCTGGTGAGTTGTTCTTTTTTCCCCCCAAAACTACAATGATTGGGCTTCAACGGCTCCAAGCAAAACTCACAAGTTTATTGATTAATGCTATGGATGTAATATATTGTTTCTGCCAAGTGGGCTTTATTGATCTTTTTAAAAAATGTAAGAATCCCGTGACCCAATGCTGTTAAGTCAATAAACCAAAGGAGTTAATCTAAACAAATAATCATCTATTAAAAATTTTGAAAAGTGAGTCTGGTTCATTTGAACAGTTTTGCAGGTTTCTTGTTAGCATACACTGGGGGACAGAGTGCCTTGCATTTTTTACTCTTTGAGCTCTTTTTAACTTTTTCATGCTACAACCACATACTTTGTTTTTAACTTTATCAAAACATGACATTCTGTGTGGCTTGATATTTAGACAATTCCTCTGAGGTTATTCCTATAGGGCAGTTTACAGTATGTCTCTCCTAGCATTGCCCATGTAGAGACACACATTATTCTATGCAAAACAGCTCAAACTCAAAATAAACGTAAAAATAGGGACTCGATTTTTAGAGTTTTGTCATTGTTTTATTGTTAAATGTAAGGTGCATTCTAAACAAATGCACCTTACATGTTGTAAATGTTATTCCTATGTAGAGGGAAGCTCAGGGCGGATGCAAGGCGGCTTTTGGTGGCAGTGGGAACAGCTCAATAACGCGTGTCTACCCGGGTCAAACGCTTCGGCAAGCGACCAGAGCCGGGTTTACTCGCTGATTTATGTGATACCATTGACCGCAATATATATACGTCAACACACCGTGTCAGTCATTCACCTGCGTATCTCCGCCTAGTTTTCATTACCACTCATCAAATCCACCTGCTTCAGCCTCTATTTAACCAGCCTTCAGACCAGCCATCTGTGACAGATTACTCAAGCCTTTGTTGAGAGTTCTCTATGGTACCTGACCCCTTCTACCTCTGGACTCCATGAGCCTGCCTGCCCCCGCTCTGCTCTGTTTGCCTTACCTGTCATCGGACTTGGACCTGGATTTCTGCCTGTCTTCGAACCAAACCTGGAACTGTTTCCCGACACCGTTCTGGATTTCCTTTTGGCACCTCTTCAGACTTTAAAGCCACCGGCTTTGGCTTCGTCCTCAGGATCATCCTGCCTTCCTTCGTCTGCTCGGTTCTCATCTCCTGCCTGTTCGCGGATCTCTGTGGAAGAAGTGTCTGGTGCTCTCTTGTTTGCAGCCGACCAGCTGTAACCTACCTCATCCTCTGGGCATGGACTGAACTATAAGGCCATGTTACTGACTCACACGTTCATTATAATCCTCCGCCAGATAGAGGTGGCCACTAACCTGCTGTCTCCTCCTGCAGAGGTTCCTGCCTTAGATGCTAGCACCGTTCACTGCAGTCCTGTTTCTAATAAATATTTTGAGAAATTTTACTGTCTGTCTGCCTCGCAGGCAGGGTCCTACTGTTCTGAGCCTGAGAGAATAATCTGTCCTAACATGGATCCATCGGCAGAGAAATCTCGAGTCAGGAGATATGTCTTTCGCCCTCTAAATTGTTTAAGGTTGATCCTGATCAGTGTCGGGCTTTTTTTCAGCCAGAGTGAGATTCATTTTGAGCTTCAGCTTCAGGGGTTCTGTCAAGATCTTGGTACTGATTTCTTGTCTGATTACTTATTTCACTGACCTGCTTATCTCCGCTCACTCCTTATTACTGCTCATCTGATCCACCTGCTTCAGCCTCTATTTAACCAGCCTTCAGACCAGCCATCAGTACCATATTATTCAAGCCTCTGGTGAGCGCTCTTTAGCATACCCGTGTGTTCTGATTGCCTGATGCTGACCAATTCTGCCTCTGGACCTGTGAACCTGCCTGTCCCCATTCTTATCTGTTTGCCTGCCCTGTCTTCGGACTCTGTCGGATGCTGACACTGTGACACTTCATGTTGCAGAAACGGCCTTCCGTGCCAAATTTGTAAATATGTGACCACTGTGATAACAAAGAGGGTCATCATGTATCCATTAGTAAAATCCATCGCCTTTGAGAGAAATTTTTTCATTGGAAATACAAACAAAGCGCTCTTAGCAAAATCCTATAGATGATAATCTGATTTCCCAGTCTCCTGAAGGCAGCACTGACTGCACCAACCAACCAGTTGCAGTGCCATGAATTTTTTTGCAGAAAACTACAGAAGAGTATTGCTGTCACCAAAGAAGAAAAGAATCTCTAAGCTTATCCCATAATTACGAGATAAGATCTCATAATTATAAGATATTATATTATATTTAGGAGATCAGGAAGGACAGTCATTGCTGAGCTACGCTACATGAAACATGGGTTATTGGATTTAATCTGCTTTCATTTCCTTTTAGGTGTGTGACACTGGGAAATAATGAGTTACCTCAATGTGGATGGAATTAGTTTTAGTTTGTCAGAATCAAGCAGTAAGTCCTTAGAAATGTTTAGGCGAAAAGCACTCTCTACTCTGACTCGCTAGAAGTTGCAATGTTCCTGCAGGAGCCTTTAAAGCAGCACAGGATATTTTATGGTTATAAATTAACGCATCTGAAATGCATTCCCTCTGGCTTGGTGGTGTCCCAAAGAACTGTTTGCTACCTTCTCAAAATCCTAGATCCTCATGGAGAACAGCTGAGGCTTAGGCATCGTTTAAAACGACCTGGTCCCAACTTCATGCAGCATGTCGATTCATATGAAACACTAAAACCATACGAATCTGTATTAATGGAGCTGTTGATGGATTTCTGACTATGGTCGTATTGCTGCATGCTTATTCCACAAGTATTAATCCCAGGGTTATAGCTACGTATTTTGTTGATGAAGTAAAAAACAGGAGCGGAGCTCCAACACATATCAGGACAGACCTCGGCACAGAGAACGTTCAGTGAAACAGATGCAGATATTTTAAAGTAACCATGAAGACCAGCTTTCTGAGAGATGCTTCATTACTGGCTCAAGTAATCATAACCAAATACATAGACAGGATCTCGTAATTATGAGGTCTTATCTCTTAATTATGAGATCTCATTATTAGGAGGTAAGATCTCATAATTATGAGATAAGCTGTCTAATTTTTAGCAAGTGATTGAAGATCTAAACTGCATACTTGTATATCTTTTTTGTAAGCCTTATTTTTAAGAAAATATTCCCAAAAGAACCTAAACAGACGTTTGTGTTTGAAATTAGGCAAAGTATGTGATAAAATTCATTGGGTGTAAAAACTTCTGTAAGGAACTGTGTAAATCAGTCTGCTCCCACAAGAGTCTTCTTATCTTCATACCTTTGGCTTTAAGCATAATTTGATGAGGTAGGACATGTCTAGATGTTTTATTTGAACTTTAACTGTAATGTAAACACACTCTATTGAAATATCTATAGATCTATTTTGGTAACCTACCCCCAGTGTTTAAAACTCTTTGTTAAATAATGTTTTGAGGATAATAGATAAGGTCATCCCTCTAAACCAGAGGTCTGCAGCCTTTCATATCTAAACATCCGTTTTCCCCGAGACTTAAAAAGTTGCTTAGACCCGCAAAATATTCTATGACCTTTTAATAAACACAACCAAATATTTTTGTTGAAGTTTCTGCAATAGGAAATGTGTTGCCATCTTAAAAAAGATGCAGTTTATTTGTATTTTTAGCTTTTAAAATAATTGTGAAACATAATTTATAAGTTAAGTAAAAGAACAAGAGCTCTAAAAACATACTTCTTTGTCCTTTACATGTCACTCTTGTGAACATTCAATTCAAATATTCTCTATAAAAAACAATAAAGCTTCTAAGACAGGTGTATGTCATAATACATTAGTTAGTTCTTAGTATGACTTTTACACATTATATTAAATATTAATATTAAAAGCCATTAGTGAGAGCCACAAGTGGCTCTGGAGCCGCAGGTTGCAGCCCCCTGCTCTAAACCATAGAATTAAAAATTAAAATAACCATGAAGTTGCATGATGATAATGAAACCTTCTATGTTAATCGGATTCATTTTTATTTTTTTTAACTCTTGTTTTCTCTTTTCCCCTTTTGTCCAACAGTACAACATTATCGAAATTGAGGTAAGAATATCTGTAATCTTTTTTCTCTGAAGTACATAAGCAGGTTAACCTGTTTGTTTTTGCTACATATACCACTGGTAGCTTCATAGTAAATAAACCCAACTGTAAAGCTAAAACAAAACAAAGCTTTGGGTGAAAATCCAGCAAAAATTACATAAAAAAGATGAAAATCTACTGGTAAAATACTGTCAAAAATATCTGAACAAAAAGAAAACAACAAAACCAGGAGCTTAATGTTTGAAAAGGACAATAAACCATGATGCAAAAAGCTAATGCTAGACCACATTAGCAGATCGCAAGCAGCAGAAGCAGCTGGTTTACATGCAAAGTCAATGGTTGATGCGCATCAAGGTGCAGGAAAAGGTTCCGCAGCATCTAGACGCACGCGCAACGCCATTCAGAAGCAGCAGCTGCTGGAGTTGGAAACATTGAACTTTAGCTGCTGGACATCAACCAATGAGAGAAGCTGATCTGGGAGCTGGCAGGTAGTCAGACGCAGCACTGCTGATGCAGAGCGCTATGATCACTCCTCTGAAACAGTTTACTAACGCCTAAATTAACCGAAAATCCTTAATTGAACATTTCTTGATATATTTGGGCAAATTGGCGTTTCTTGTTAATTTTTGCAATCAAAACATGAATATTTTTTTAAAGTTACAAAGGCTATAAGGTCCTGGATTCCAATAACACTATTGGCCTATAAAGGGTTAACCCCCCCGCTGCTCCCCAAGGGGATGGCTAAGAAGTAGCAGTAAATTTATCCAGTGTGTTATTAATAAAGTTGAGTTATTATTATTACAACAGCTCTTTAAACGTTGGTAACTCATTTTTAGTAGCTAGTTAATCACTTGGGCGGAGGTCTTCAACAGGGTGTCCCCTAGGGGTCCACAGAGGTACTGCATGGGGGTGCAAGTTTTGGTTGATCAGACTTTTCACAATTTTTCCAACTAATTGAAATGTCTTTAAATCCACATTAACATGAATCCAACAGACTGTAGTAAACAGATCAATGGAGGCAGAAGATGTCTTTCAGTCATCAATGCTCACATTCAGAGACACACAGGAGCTCTTTCAAGCTGGGCACCGTTTCATTCACAACACCTGTCCCATCAACCAGGAATCAGAAATACTTTAATAATCCCAGGGAGGGATTACTTTAGTTACATTACTCCATCTGTAATAGAGTGACTATAGGACCAGTTTGATAGAACACTATTTCATGCAATATATATATAATTAGGGAGTCCCGCTCCATCTCGCCATCAGTTTGAGGTCCTTGGCCTGGAAAAGGTTGAAGACTGCTGCACTAAGGTGTTTTAAAAGGTTTTGGCTACAGATCTCCTATTAAGACCTCAATTGTTTGATATATTACCTCATGCACATCTATTTTACACTCATTTTCAAAAAAAGATGACTCGATGTCCACGTGTTTCACTTAAGCGGGGTATTGTAATCCTCAGGTAAACCATAGCATATAAAAACGATGGTAAGGTAATTGTAATGTACCAAGCACATCAATGATTGAGAACAATACATCTATACTTGATTCTCTCTATATGCATACCAAATCAATCTTTATATAAGGTCTGAAATTTGTGAACATTTTTGCAAAGCATTTGAAGAAAGTTCAAAGTATTCCATATTTCATCCCACTTACTGTCACATAAAAACTTTTATCATTCAAAATTATACTTGCCCCCCCAAACTTTTCAACACTTTTAGGTTAAAAACATAAAGATATAAAGTAGTAATTCTTTGTGAAGAATCAACAACAAGTGGGACACAATCATGAAATGGAACAAAATTTTAAACTTTTGTCCCTCATTGAGGTCTAGAAGCACAAGATCCATATCCAGCCAGTCAGCATAGATACTGCTACATGGTTGTACACCTTTTTATGAAATTTGACCAATTAGATGAGCCCTTTAATAATATATTATCTACTGGAAATTACATTGGGGGAAAAAACTTAAGTCAAGAAAAATGGTAAAAAGCTCCAGTTAACAATTATATTTAGGTTTATATAGAAAAAAATGCCAGTGCCAGTATCAGTATCAGCATTAATGCCTCTAAGGTTAATCTGGACCCAAATAATGTGTTTCTTTCATGAATTTCTTATAGAAGCACTTTTGCTATGTTTCTTAATATATTGGGGCAAGTTGCCATTTCTTGTTATTACATTGACATTAGTTTTTGCCATCAAAATATTCATATTTTTTAATGCTGCAAAGGTAAAAAGGTCTTGTCCTGGATTCCAATAACACATTGGCTGGAAATTTGGATTTTCAAAGTATTTCACCGAGTTCCCTATAAAGGGTTAAAACACAGAGAGCTTCATGAAGAACAAGGAACAACTAGGCAGATGATGTTGTAGAGAAGTTTAAAGCTGGATTTGGATCCAAACAGATTTCCTGAGCTTTAAACATCCCACGGAGCACTAAGCAGAGATAATATTAAATTGAAGGAGTATGAGACCAATGGGAATCTGATCAGAGATGCAGCCAAGATGTTGCTCTGTATGAAATGCAGAGATCTGCAGCTTAGGAGGGAGGCTGTGTCCATTGGACAACAATCAGTCGTACGCTGCACTCATACGACCTGCACTGAAACCAAATTAGACGTTTTTAGAAACATTGCAAAATGTTATGTTTGGCGTAAAGCAACACAGCTCATCACCCTGAACACACCATGCCCACCATAATTTTATTTCATTTGTAATTTTTTTTATTTCATGTTTTGTTGTTGGACCCCAGGAAGAATAGCTGTAGCTTGCTACAGCTAATGGGGATCCTAAATAAACTAAACTAAACTAAACTAAATGGTCAGACATGGTGGTGGCAGCATCATGGCTTGGGCCTGCTTTATGTCTTTCCATGGGCCCCATAAAAGACGTTGATATTTGGCCCTCAACTTCAATCTAGAAATCTAACTAAGCTTTGGTTGAAGAAGGTTGAAGAAACAAGGCTGCTGATGGATCGTCTATTTACATGATTATGGGACAAAGACAATTATTTAATGTAAATATCCTGCTAAACATCTAGTAGAGTTTGGGTGATTTTAACCTCGTTGTCCTGTTGCCTTGTCTGGTTGATGAGCTTTCTGGCTTATTTGTTTGGCCTCTGTGTTATTTACAGGGCCAAATAATTTAGCGCAATTTGACGGGGGGGTGGGTTCATATATTCAGCTGTGTTTCACTGTTTACTGCTGAAAAATGCAGAGGGAAGGAGGCAGAGGTGAGCTCTTATAGTTTTAATGAAGTATTCACAAGTAACTGAGGCAGGAATCCAAAAATCCAAAATTGAAATGTAAAACAAACCAGAACCATGGAGACATCAGGAACAACGAACACGAGGAGCGCGGAAAAGACGAGGAACCAGCACTGAGGAACTGCACAGGTAGAGTTTATATGGGAGACTGAACAAAGACTGGACTAATGAGCTGATTGGGAGCAGGTGTGAAGAGAGGATTCTAGAAGGGAGCGAGGGAAAAGGAGACCAACACAAGAGGGCAACAAAGACAAGCCTAAGAACTCAAATATATCCAGAAAACTTACCAATAAAACTAGAAAACATGGAGCAAAGTAAAACTGAATACTCAAAAGAAAACTTAACACAACCAAGACCGTGATAGATTATTTATTTTACTGCTAGATTTTCTTTTTATATTTGAAAAATATAGCACGAAACATCTTTTATTCTTCTTTTGGGCCCCCGTCAGTAAAGGGCCCTTACAATCGTCCTAACTCGTCCCCCCAATACAACGCCTCTGACTGTAATCAGAAAGTATGCATGATAATATTTAGCCCTTTCTGAGCCCCTGAAACGTGTTTCTATGTCCATTCGGGTCATTTCTCCGAGAGCCTTTCTTTGTAATTACCTTCAAAGTTTCTCTGTGTTACTTTTATACCTGTAGGGTATTTTCCAGAACCTATGATTCATGACTAGAACTGCCCCTCTCTGCATTTTGCTTCAAGTCTCTCATATCTGCAGGACCTGCCGGCCCAATGCTAAGCAAACTGTTGTCTCCTGAGCTTCTCTACCCTCAGACTGAATAGAACCGATCTCTATTCACCTCTTTATGGCAGAAGTTATCCCTCTTGCTGGAAGTCAGCTTCTAGTCTCCCTCATCAGTCTAACCCTCCAACATCCAATCTCACCTTACATTGTCCATTTTTTAAATCACATGATGCCACAGTGCTCCAGACCCTAGTATGAACATAAAACCTTTTTAATCAGATTTGTCTTGGTCTCCTGCCTATGGGTCAGGATTATATACAAAGCCTGGGCCCTGTTTGTTAATCTCTGCTTTGTTCTCATTATCATCTGTCTGAGTTAACAGGATTCCTACAGGAACAGGATTGGACAATGGATCAATCAAACATCTAACAGCAAAATCCTGCAGCTCTTCTACCCCCTAAACTCTGAGGCCCGCGAAGGAAGCTACACAATCTCTGTGACAGCGGGTGGAGATAAGCACTCTCACACCTTCAAAGTGGAGAAGTATGGTATGTCAGGGATATTAACATACATTTTATGTTACCACAATGTTTACCTTTATTTTCTAATGGTAACATTTAATGTTTTGCTGCTCAGTTTTGCCTAAATTCGATATCACCACAACTGTGAAGGAAGAAGTCAGCATCGGACAGGAAGAATTTGAAACTAAAGTATGTTTGAGGTCAGTAACAGCTGCTTTTCATAAATGATCTCCAGAAGAACAGCAGTTCCTCTCTGTGGTGACTCTGTGATCTGTTTAAATGAACCAGGTACACATACGGACAGCCTGTTCCAGGAAGCGTTACAGTCAAGGTCTGTCGACCTTTTCCAAGGCGTCATTATGATTACTCAGGGCTTTCCGGAACTCTTGAAGACGTACAAATATTTCCTCCATGTGAGACAATCCACAAGCAGGTAGAGTTACACACCTTGGTCATTTTGAAAATGTCTGCATGTGCACCAGCTTTCTCCTTTCTGACTTTCAAATGTGTTGAATATTGACCAAGAAGAGAGAGTTTTAAGCTTGATAAATTGCTTTCCATGTAGTATTTTCCATTCAAATTTCCTGTACACCTGGATTTTATTTTCCATTGTCTTTACTTACCTACTTTTATCAAAAATTCTTCTGCATAAAATTAATATTAACATTTACTAATATCTACATTAAATGATTTTTTACGTTATTATTAAAGTAGATAATAATGTATAATTTCACTGAAGACTCCTAGATGACTTGCAGAGACACATCATTTTCTCTTTACCCCAAATAAAGCAAAATTTAGTTCTGAAAAGAACTAAATTTTATGAATTCGGTATTAATAAACTTAAATGTTAGTATTTTGATGTGTATAATTAACCACAGCATTTTAGGTGTCAAGTCATTGTTATATGAAAAATTTAAATGTTTAATAAGTTTACTGCTGCCACCGTCTGTATTAGAGGGCGAAAAAAATGGTAGGCGTGGCCACAGAGGTGGAAAATGATTGGCTAAGAAGGGCCATGGCCACCTCTGGTCCCCCATCTAGCTCCGCCCCTGAACCTGGAGGTGTGAAACCTCCTCTGCTTTACCCAAATGGTTGCTTTTATTCAGATCTGATAACAGACACATCAAGCACGTTATCCTGCTTAACATCAAATGTTTGTTAAAGAAAGTTGCTTTAATATCTGTTGCTGTGACAGATTCCCAGGTAACCAACTCTGACCAAAGGACCTAAGCTGTTACTGTCTGCTGTTACCGACCAGCATTTGGTCCACCACCATAGATAATAACAGTCAGACTATTTTATATAATTATTATATTTATATACTAACAGTCAGACAGAAATGAGCTTAGAGCCCAGTATAAGAAGGAGAGTTCTCAGTCTATCATTTCTGTTCAATATATCTTTCTTTTTTGTTGGCTTTTTAGACAGACAAACATGGCTGTGCTATCGCTGAATTTAAAATGTCAAGTTTCACCAAACTAGACCAAAAGATATTGCAGGACAAACTTGAAGTTCATGTCACTGCTGAGGAGGAGGGAACAGGTGAGTCCTGTTAATGTACTTAAAGCTGACTTTATAGCAGCGTTTTTAAATATAAAATAGGCAGACGACCATTGAAACATGATATTTTTTTTATGTTCAGGTGTTTCACAATCGCAAATGAAGAAAATAAGCATTTCCTACATTATTGGCAAGCTGGCATTTGTTGACCCCCCCAGGATTTATGACAAAGGCTCAAACCTGGAGGGAAAAGTAAGTAAGAACACTGTGATGGAAAAACGTTATTTCACCAACAGATTTCTTGTTTTTCTTGTTTTTGTTAGACTTGAATGTCGCACAACTATGGCTGCATTGAATACAGGATACAGTTTTAACAATGTTTTTGTTTTTGATGGGGACAAAGTTTATTCAAAACAATGTGGTTCTACTTAAAATAGTGATTGCCCTGCTTTGTGCATTATAAATGTTCTGTAAATAAACACAGCTTTTGGAAGAAAAGTCTAATTTTACCAGTAACACCCAGTTTCTGAGAATCCAGAAATAATATTAATAGAAGCTGACTGACAGAATGAAGTTAGTTAAAAGATCTAAGCCCCCATGTCTCAGTTTTTCTAAGGTTTTTAAACCACATTAAGGCACAAATCTCAAACCACCAATGCAGAAAAATGTGTCAACCTTTCTGAAAACGATTGATCGACGAAACTTACTGCAGGAGGTCCCAAAAAGCGTTGGACCATAGCTAAAACACAGAGAATGCAGTTTCAAAGGGAGACGTCATGTAAAATCCACTTTCTACACAAAGGGCCAGTTTGGTTTGGATAGCACTCTACCTTAGTGCAGAGATATTCAACCCAAACTGTTCAAAAAGCCCTATTGGACCAAAAAAACGAATCTGCCTGGAGCCACAAAAACGTAAAAGTCTTCTATAGGCCTTGTATGGCAACACGGGCTGTAAGTGTATTAATCTACTATAAAAAATTATTACCTGGGCTTATATATTCAATAAGCCTTCATGGTTAAATGTCACATCATGCCCTGCTGTATGCAGAGATGGCAAAGTACTCACTTTCCGTACTTGAGTAAAAGTACAGATAGTTGTGTTAAAAAAATACTCTGGTAAAAGTGGAAGTACTGATTAAACTTCTTTACTCAAGTAAAAGTAACAAAGTACAGGCTTGTAAATTTACTTAAAGTATCAAAGTAAAAGTAGAAACCACTTTTTTCATGCCGTCGCCTACATTTTAAATGGATGTCTGCCAATAGGACTAGATCTCCGTTGTGTTCATTTTCAATCATCCCGTCGTCCATGCTACTATGCTAACGCCACCGCCACCAAGCTGCAATGATTTGCCGCCAATGAATACCGCCGAATCTGTCGATTCATCTTGTAGTGGTGCGTCAAATGCAACGTAGATTCCCATCCAATTAGATTGAATTTGGTATTGATGACGTGAAAAATAATAACGGTAACTCCATTGAAATGATTCAAAACTAAAGTAACGAGACAATTTTTTTAAATGTAAGGAGTAGAAAGTACAGATATTTGTGTAAAAATGTAAGGAGTAGAAGTAAAAAGTTGCCATTAAAATAAGTAGGAAAGTAAAGTAGAAATATCAGAAAAATCTACTTGAGTACAGTAACAAAGTATTTGTACTTCGTTACTTCCCATCTCTGGCTGTATGATAGTTGGTGCTTTAAGTTTAAATTCCATGACAATATTAATACATTGGGTTTGGTTGCATTAATGAAATTATAGAAATATCAAATTTTTGTTTTATTTTTATTTTGAGGATTCGGGTGGAAAAAGATAGAAGAAAGTTCCCATCACTGCATCAGAGCGCTAACTGTACGATCTATGAACAGTTTTCTGAGCAGTAGTGGAGTTTGGAGATGCAGTCCACGTCTAAATGTATCTTTGCTCTCCTCTAATTTATCCAGAAGTTATATTTAGAAGCCTTCCCTGGAAATGCCTTTCCTAATGACTTTTTATTCTTTGACGACTTCTCATGATGCTTTGAAAGGAGAGGTCTTGTAAAGCATTCCAGGACATATCTGCTCATCTAGAGACCATGGATGATCACTATTTTTAATGTGCATTGTAGGAAATTTTGAGTTCACTAGCTTTTCCACCCACTAGACACTCAAACACTCATTTAAAATAGCTTAACCACTATATAGCGATTAGGGGTGACGTTATGACACAAGCCTTGTCTTCTCAATCTGTTGGTTTACAGTTTTTCTACCAGAACACAGAGGGAAATTCATTGAGCTAAAGTGCGTTAATGCTAGCAGCCTTTAGGTGCAGCTAACCCAATATATTAAAGGTACAGCAGCGCCCAATGGCTCCAACATATACAGAGTTGCTTTAAATGCAGCAAAAGGTAAAAAACAAACTTTTAGGGTATATTTTTCCACAATGCTCTTGAATAGTGAGTGTTTTATATCTTGTGAGTCAATGCACTATTTTATTCCAGAATTGTATTTCTTACAGGTCAAGGCTGTACACTACAACGATACGCCCATTCCTCACATGCCGCTATATTTGTTTGGGGGGAGTAGATGGTCTGCAAGTTTACTTCAGAACCTCACGACTGACAGCAACGGTTTCGCCACATTCTCTGTCAGCACAGACGCTTTTGATGGAGATACTAGGCTGACTGTAAGTTAATTACATCTATAAAAATCCTGTTTTAATCATGAGGTCATGCAGTAAAAAAAAAAAAAAATTGTTTCTATTTTTTCATTTCTTGTTATTACATTGACCTTAATTTTTGCCATCACAATATCCTTATTTTTTCAAAGGTAATAAGGTCCTGTCCTGGATTCCAAAAACACTATTGGCTTGAAATTTAGATTTTCAAAGTATTTCTCTGAGTGTCCTATAAAGGGTGAAGTGTCAAAAAATGTGAATAAAATATGATCTGTTTGCATTTTAATGACCATCGTCTCTTTCTATATTACTTTGTTCTATAATCAGATAAACGTCTCACCAGAACTGCAGTACCCAGAGTATAGAACAGCTAACATTCCCTGGCAAGAACACACCTTTCTTCAGTCCCTACCTCCTTCTGCTGACACCAAATCAAGCAGCGTCTTGAAGATAAAGAGCGTTGCCTCCGCCCTTCCATGTGATAAAGAAGTGGACATCTCCATTGATTACACTTTTGTGCAAGAACCACAGGGATCTGTAGATATCTTTCATCTGGTGAGTCATTCATCCGGTTACCAACATTTAATATCTAACTTTATCTAATATCTAGGTTTTGCTGGTGAAGATTCTCAGTCATCCAGGTAAGAGTGATTCCAAAAAAAGGGAATAAAAAATACACTGGACTTTGTTTCCAAGTTTGAAGACGTTTCTCTTCCATCCTGTCATGAATCAGTGTTTGTATGGAGGACCCAAACGCAGAGACCAGTAGGCAGAGGTGAATTAAAGTGGTTTTATTAAAGTTCACAGATCCAGGAGCAGGAATCAGAGTCCAAAAGTAAACAGCAAACGAACCTGAACCAAGGAGACATCAGTGGTAAATCCAAACTAGGAGCCAAGGAGAGATGAGGTACACAGACAGAAGTTAGGCAGGATGTTTGACGAGGATCCAGCAAACAGGAACTGAACAGGGAGGGCTTTTAAAGGGGACAGAGACAGAGAGAGAGCTGACGAGGAAATTGGCAGCAGGTGCTTGGCAGGACAGAGAAACAGAGGAAGGGAGGACACAAGAGGGCAGCAGAGGACAACAAATGGATAACAGGAACAATCAGACCAGGACCATGACAGTACCCCCCATCTAAGGGCGGATCCCAGACGCCCTAAAATGTCCAGAAACTAAAAACAACCCACCCAGGGTGGGCGGAGGGGGAACCAGGCACAAAAACAGAACAGAGTCCGAAAATCAAAACAACCCACCCAGGGTGAGCGAGGGCAACAAAAAGTCTCTGGAGGCCGGCCGTGGGGCCAGAGCAGAGAGAGACGCTCTGGAGGCCGGCGTCTCCAATGCAGCAGGAAACTAGGAGGAGGACGCCGCCTCCGCAGGATGCGCCGAGGAGGACTCCGCTTCAGCAGGATGCGCCGAGGAGGACGCCGCCCCCGCTTTAGCAGGACGCGCCGAGGAGGATGCCGCCCCTGCCTCAGCAGGACGCGCCGAGGAGGATGCCGCCTCTGCCTCAGCAGGACGCGCCGAGGAGGACGCCGCCTCCGCTTCGGTTGCTCTGCAACAGGCTCAGAGGGAGCCGTCGACTGCGGCTCAGGAACAGGACCAGACGATGCCGCCCACTGCGGCTCAGGAACAGGACCAGACGATGCCGCCCACTGCGGCTCAGGAACAGGACCAGACGAGGCCGCCCACTGCGGCTCAGGAACAGGACCAGACGAGGCCGCCCACTGCGGCTCAGGAACAGGACCAGACGAGGCCGCCCACTGCGGCTCAGGAACAGGACCAGACGAGGCCGCCCACTGCGGCTCAGGAACAGGTTCAGACGATGCCGCCCACTGCGGCTCAGGAACAGGTTCAGATGGGACCGCCCACTGCGGCTCAGGAACAGGTTCAGATGGGCCCGCCCACTGCGGCTCAGGAACAGGTTCAGATGGGCCCGCCCACTGTGGCTCAGGAACAGGACCAGACGAGGCCGCCCACTGCGGCTCAGGAACAGGTTCAGACGAGGCCGCCCACTGCGGCTCAGGAACAGGTTCAGATGGGACCGCCCACTGCGGCTCAGGAACAGGTTCAGATGGGCCCGCCCACTGCGGCTCAGGAACAGGACCAGACGAGGCCGCCCACTGCGGCTCAGGAACAGGACCAGACGAGGCCGCCCACTGCGGCTCAGGAACAGGACCAGACGAGGCCGCCCACTGCGGCTCAGGAACAGGACCAGACGAGGCCGCCCACTGCGGCTCAGGAACAGGTTCAGACGAGGCCGCCCACTGCGGCTCAGGAACAGGACCAGACGAGGCCGCCCACTGCGGCTCAGGAACAGGTTCAGACGAGGCCGCCCACTGCGGCTCAGGAACAGGACCAGACGAGGCCGCCCACTGCGGCTCAGGAACAGGACCAGACGAGGCCGCCCACTGCGGCTCAGGAACAGGACCAGACGAGGCCGCCCACTGTGGCTCAGGAACAGGACCAGACGAGGCCGCCCACTGCGGCTCAGGAACAGGTTCAGACGATGCCGCCCACTGCGGCTCAGGAACAGGATCAGACGATGCCGCCCACTGCGGCTCAGGAACAGGTTCAGATGGGACCGCCCACTGCGGCTCAGGAACAGGTTCAGATGGGCCCGCCCACTGCGGCTCAGGAACAGGACCAGACGAGGCCGCCCACTGCGGCTCAGGAACAGGACCAGACGAGGCCGCCCACTGCGGCTCAGGAACAGGTTCAGACGATGCCGCCCACTGCGGCTCAGGAACAGGTTCAGATGGGACCGCCCACTGCGGCTCAGGAACAGGACCAGACGAGGCCGCCCACTGCGGCTCAGGAACAGGTTCAGACGATGCCGCCCACTGCGGCTCAGGAACAGGACCAGACGAGGCCGCCCACTGCGGCTCAGGAACAGGACCAGACGAGGCCGCCCACTGCGGCTCAGGAACAGGTTCAGACGATGCCGCCCACTGCGGCTCAGGAACAGGTTCAGATGGGACCGCCCACTGCGGCACAGGAACCACCATGGAGGGGGCCTTGAAGGCTTGGGGCGCCCACTGAGGTGCCTTGGAGGCCTGGAGCGCCCGCTTAGGGGCCTTGGAGGCTTGGAGCCCCCGTCGAGGGGCTCTTGGAGCTGATGGCAGTGGCAGGAACAAAAAAAAAATCTTCCCTCTCCCCATAAAAAAAGCTCCAAAGGTCAGATTCCTGTATATGGGGAGGGCTGAGGAGTTCACATGCCTGGTTCTCTGCTGGGTCCATGTTTTGGCTGGATCCTTCTGTCATGAATCGGTGTTTGTATGGAGGACCCAAATGCAGAGACCAGTAGGCAGAGGTGAATTAAAGTGGTTTTATTAAAGTTCACAGATCCAGGAGCAGGAATCAGAGTCCAAAAGTAAACAGCAAACAAACCTGAACCAAGGAGACATCAGTGGTAAATCCAAACTAGGAGCCAGGGAGAGATGAGGTACACAGACAGAAGTTAGACAGGATGTTTGACGAGGATCCAGCAAACAGGAACTGAACAGGGAGGGCTTTTAAAGGGGACAGAGACAGAGAGAGAGCTGACGAGGAAATTGGCAGCAGGTGCTTGGCAGGACAGAGAAACAGAGGAAGGGAGGACACAAGAGGGCAGCAGAGGACAACAAATGGATAACAGGAACAATCAGACCAGGACCATGACACATCCAGGAAGATTTTTCAATTCAAAATGTCAGAAATAGCGTTTAGTTCCAGGTTTTATCCAGCAGCCCAACAAAGCCTGGTTTTAGTTTAAAAAACATGCAAATAGAAACAGATGAACGGGTCCCCCCCTTTGGAATGGGGGTCGTTTGGCTTCTTTGTTAGCCTGCAATGCCCCATACCTGTCTATGTCTCTGAAAGGGGGGTCGTTAGGGAATTGTTGGCCTGGCTAAACAGGTGAGGTCCTCCACTCTCCAGTACTGGGGCTGGGGCTGTGATGATAGTTTTAAATGAACTCGGATGAACAGCCGCATGTCAAAGCTTAGAAGACTTGGCAGAAGAAAGCCTGCATTCAGACTTAAGCAAAGTTAAACCAAGACAGCGATTTATTTGCATTAAACTATAAGAGCTGAAGCTTTATTGTATGTAAGAATTTATTGTATTTTTACCACTGGATGAGCAAGATGTAGGAGATAAAGATAAAAAAGATGTTAAAAACTGAATGCAGATGTTTAAATTTCCAAATGCATCAATTATGATAAATTAGTTCCAACTTTACTCTGGTGTCACATATCTCAGTAAATAGACAGGTGAAAGACTGAACCTAAACTTAATCCAATTAAATGCTAATGCTCTTTATCAGTTCTATTCAGTTTATTTCTATAGCTCCAATTCACATCATATCATCTCAGGTCACTTTCCAGTTCACCAGATCATCCAGTCAGATTGATTCAAAGTTTTCTATCTAAGGAAAACCAGCTGATTGCATCGACTCATTGACTCTTCAGCAATCCCTCACACTAAGCATGCTTGTAGCGACAGTGGAGAGGAAAAACTCCCTTTGAACAGGAAGAAACCTCCAGCAGAACCAGGCTCAGTGTGAGCGGCCATCTGCTGAGGCCCACTGGGGTTCAAGGAGACAGAAGCAGACATAGAAAAAGAAGCATAGATACAAAAGGCAACTGTCAACCAGCTCCACAGGCGGCCCCTGTCCAGGAAACACACAGCCAGGCAGACGAGCTCCGAGCCAGCTCCCATGTCAGAGGATGAAGAGAGCACATCCAGTTAGTCACAGTCAGAGAAACAGGACTACACTGGAAAACAGCCCAAGCTCCAACATCTAGAAACAAAGGTGTTGATGGCAGCAGCACAGCTGATATTTCTCTCCAGGATGGAGTCACAGCCAAACAGGAACAGACCAGATGAAGCTACTATGAGAAAAAGCAGAGAGAGCAGAACGTTAGAGATTGAACTAACAGATTCTGCAGAGTGGGAGAATAGAGATAGAATGAAGCAGAATGATGAAAAAGGGGTCCCTATGTCCTCCAGCAGTCTAAGCCTATAGCAGCAGAACTATAGAGATAGATCAGGATAACCTGAGCCACTCTAACTAGAAGCTTTATCAAAAAGGAAAGTTTTAAGCCTAGCCTTACAAGTAGACAGGGTGTCTGCCTCAAGGACTAAAACTTGTAGTTGGTTCCACAGCAGTCTTCATCAAAGTTGTCTTTTTTTTTTTTTTTGAATATCCATGGATTTTAATGCCCTGTTTTCAAGACAGATCCTAAGTTTTACCAAAAACTTTCAAACATTTATACTTGTACATGCCCAGTTTTGTTTAAAGTGCATAAAGAATTGAAATGTGTTATTTTTTCCATAAATTCACAGGTCTTATACGGAGGAACTATTGGCAGTGGAGGACAAAAACAAGTTCAAATTGAAGATAAACCAGGTATATAAAAACCAAAGTGACACATTTATTAAAGTTTCTTTCTGCATTTTTCTGATTCTTTTTCAATTCACTGAATTAATGGATCAGTATAGGAATTTTAAGGTCTTTGTTTTCCTTGATATAGCATGTCTAACAGTGTGATGGATTTTTCAGTGAATGAGGGTCAGGTGTCCTTCAGCCTGAACATTTCTCCAGACATGGCTCCACTGATCCAGGTTGTGGCTTACGCTGTCCTCCCCAGTGAGAATGTGATTGCTGCCAGTGCTGAGTTCTCCACAGAAAAATGCTTTAGTAATAAGGTCAGCAGACATGAAAGGACACACAGATGAAGACGCTGTTATAATCCTGACACAGTCCTCATAATATCTAGTTAAGGAAGATATTAAAGGAAAAGTCTGGTCAGCGAGGAATAATCAATGGATTAATATTTATACCTAAAACTAATACGTTTGCAGTGCTTTAATTAATTTAGCGTTCAACCGTAAAAAATAGAAGCAATTATTTTTACCACAATCACTGAGTCTGGGAGCGGCCATTTTTGCCCAAATATAGTAGCCCCTCCCTCCTGCCATCTTCCAGCAGTGACGTCACGGTGCGGTAAGCCTAGCGCCATTCTCCCCGCTTTCCAAGGTAAATCAATGGGAACTACTAGACACATCTGCAATCAACAACAATTATTGAAGATTTCCAGAGGACTTCACCATTGTAATTCACCAGAGCTATAGTGAAACTGACAATGCCCACGTGCATGGCAGCTGGATGCTGGAATACATCGGGTAAAAGTGAAAAAAAAGAGTTATTCCACCTTTCTGATTCCTGATCCTCCACGGACGGGTTGGTCGTTGGATCGCCAACTTGAAGAGGGAGGATTTGCCATCGAACTTCTGGCCAGAGAAAAAACCCGTAATATGTAGCCAACATTTGGAAGAAGAATGTTTTCAAGATGACTTGGATAATAGCGCGTTGTGACAAACACCAGATACAGCACTGGGACTTGATCAACAGCCGATACCGCACCGTGACGTCACTAACCAGTAGGTGGCAGTAGTGTTCTTTGACAAACATGGATGCCTCCAGTAAAGCACATTCACATGAAAATTACTCTGAATTAAAAACACTGATCATTTATTGAACAGGATGGAATCATTTCATATTTAAAGAACTTTCAGAAGTTTAAATTCTGAATATGAGCGACTTTTCCTTTAAAGTCAATTGTTTTGGTTGATCCACTGCCGAGGAAGCAATAAATTAATTCAATATCTTTAAGGGATTGATTATCAATTATCTAATTAGTAAATAAAGTTATGTGTAAATGATGTGGCTCAGGTGTCGTTGGAGTTGTCTCCATCTCCAGCTGTTCCTGGAGAGGAGATCAAATTGCGACTAATGGCTCAGCCTGACTCCCTGTGTGGTATCAGTGCCGTCGATCAGAGTGTCCTCATCAAGGAACCCGGGAAGACTCTGGATAAAGAAAAGGTACCAGCTTGCAACCTTTATTAGTCCACACACAGACCTTCTTTGTTGTGAGATAAAAGAAAAGTCATTGAATTCATTTTTCTGACTTGTAAGGAACCAAAGAAACAGAACAATTTCAGATTTTGTCTTTCAGATCTTTGACATGCTGCCTGTTAAAAAAATATCATATATACCATACCAAGTCCAAGATTCTACAGAATGCTTGCAAGTGAGACCAAAGAGATATGTTTTACCACATCCAAGGCAAGAAGAGGAAGCCTTTTCTGCTTTCCAGGTACGAAGCCTAAAGCACCATACAATACAAAGTATATTAATTAAACATATGTGGTCTTTTAAAATATTGCTACAAGTACCTTTTGTGTTGTCCCAAACTGTGCAGAATGTAGGACTGAAAACAGCAACAAATCTAATGATAAGATGGCCCACTTGTGTCACACTTAAGGGAAGAACTTATCATCATGAGTATGCTGGTAACTTTTGACCTGTGGAGCGGGACAGTACAAAGATGGTTCTTTTAATAAATGTAATTTGTGTGACTAATTCACATCTGATTCATCTTCTTTTTGATTCTGTAAACTTGCAGTGATGGAACGCAATTTAATGACTCCACAAGTTGCTTATAGTTTAGCAGACGCTGATATGGTACCTGATGCAATAGAAACAGTTCGTACTTTCTTCCCTGAGACCTGGATATGGGACCTTATGGAGACCGGGTGAGATGCTGATGAAAACATTGTTATGTTCAGAAAACGATAATAATGTTTCAGCACATTCACACTGTATATGTTTGTAATCCTACACAACGATAAATCACATCTAAAACTCAACATAGTTTAAGCCAATTGGTGTCATAATCAGTGATGGGAGAAATGGCGTTGTAACACCGTTACCTTTTTTAGTAACCAGTAATCTAACTAATTACTTTGACTTTAACTATAACGCAGTTACCATTGCCGACACCCCGTTACTGCACGTTACTCATGTCGCACAGTTAACCTTTTTTCATGATAATACTCGTGCGCGCCTTGTCATGAGAGAGGGGAGGATGAGATTAGCTGATGTATAGTGAGATTCCGTCTGTCAGTTGGGTAGGTGGGTGTTTCTGCTGGCGGGTGTTAACGTACAGCACACACAGAGAGATGGAGAGTGAGGAGGACTCCTGCAGCAAAACAGCTTTTTCCTGATGGAAATACCAGTGTTACGTGTTAATATACGATGAGTTGCAATAAATGCAAAACTCTCTGCAGGTTCTTGTCTTTGTGGTTCGCTCTATTCAGCTGGCTTTGGAAACACACGGCGAGAAGGTGGGGGCCGGGTGGTGAGGGTTACGGAGGCGAGAAACGCAAAAGTAACGTAATAGTTACTTTTACTAGTAACTAGTTACTTTTATTGTGGAGTAACTCCGTTAGTAACTCAGTTTTTGGGAGAAGTAACTTGTAACTATAACTAATTACTTTTTCAAAGTAACGTTCCCCATACTGGTCATAATGGGCTTTAAAGGTCTAACCCACAAGCAGAGAAACAATCAGAGATCAAGGGTAAAAGTCTAACAGGTTTATTGTAGGTTTGCAAACACTGATGGAGATTGAAACTCTGTGGGGAAACAATACTGGAACTCAGTGGACTGGTGAACTGGAAACTCTGAAGGGGAGATCACTGTGATCAGTTCAGGGACAATTGGAAAATAGACTGAGGCTTGAATATTGCTGGAGAGGCACTGACTTTGGGGGGCTCTTGGTTTATCCTTGGATCCAGTTTGTGGGGGTTTAATCCTGAGAAGAGGGAACTCGTTGGAGAGCGGACAGGCAGACATACGTTGGACCCAGATAATGTGGAGGTTTTCCCCTTGCTCAGTGAGACTCAGTAAATCCTTCCAGGGGTAGAAGGTCCAGGCTTAACACAGGCCATCTCTAGGAGGCACTGTGACAATACATACAGTAGTAGCCATTTAAAATTTCCCCACTTTCTTTGATGGGCCATCGGCTGGTCCTCGCCTCACTGGAAAATAGAAACTAGAAATAACTTGAATTAAAAATTAAAATTTCCTAAATTAAATGTAAATTAAGTGTATTTACTCTTAATTTGAATATGTAAATTAGATTGCCAATGGAGTAAGTATTTTTACACTTAAAATAAGATAATTAGATAATATGCACTTGAAATAAGACAATGCAATTGTGTTTTCTTATTTTAAGTAGAAGTTGTCTTATTCAATTGTCATGATGTCTCTTTTATCTCCTTAATCAAAGAATAAATGCATTTATTTGAAGAAAAAATTATCTAGATTGAAATTTTTTTCCAATGCTGGTCTTTGGCTGATCCTTGACTGGTCCTTGGATGGTCCTTGACTGGTACTTGGATGGTCCTTGGATGAACCTTGACTGGTACTTGGATGGTCTTTGGATGGTCCTTGGATGGTCCTTGGCTGGTCCCCTACAATTCCTTTTTAAACTTCAATCTTTGTACTAAAATATTCTTTCTGTCATGATTTGTGGACACTAAGATCTAAAGAGAAGCGCCATCTCCTGGTCAGACCCTGTAATTCAGTGAAAGGGTGGAGTCAGAGTAAAAAAATATGCCAGTGGCTGGAAGTTGTAAGGGATTTTGCTGCCATTCTGCTGGGTTTTGACTGGGAAGGGCAATTTCGAATGGCTGCTACCGTAAGTAAAGATTATTCATAGGCTCTAGAGGCCTTTATTTTACTGGATTTTATTATATTTTGAAAGTAGGCAGACAGGATATGGGATTAGAGAAAGAGAAAAGTAAACCAGTGGTTGGTGTTTGGTTCCTCTGGTGTTTTGCTGCTATGATGCCTTATCGGAGCTCCCGTATTGTGTTTACAGTCCCGTTTTGGGAGTCTTTCAGGGATCCCCTGTTCTTCAACAGCCGGGAATTTTGTGCTTTTTGGTCCTTTTTTGGTCAAAGGATCATTCTGAACACTTTTTGGATATTTCATACAGGTCAAATAATGACGACTCCTCATAGGAGTAAAAAATGTACTATAAATTTACTCAGTGGACCCTTAAAGTGTGGAACTAGATTTTAATGAAGAAGTGAAAAATAAAATGGAGATTCTGTTCAAAATACAGAGAAGCAGCACTACAGCTTCAAAGGAGATGAAGATGGGAGTAGAAGAATGTTGGTGATAAGTAGGTCTAGATGAAGTCCACTATGGCAGGAAGTTTTTCCACTTATTAAAAGCACTCGTCTCTCTGTTGTTCCATTTGTAGATAACTAAAATAAGATTCCTGATATAAAAAATTCCATTCCTAGACTGAACGGTTTAAACAATTACATTTTTTGCAGCAGAAACTGAATTTCAGAAAGTTAAATAATATATATATATATATATATATATATATATATATATATATATATATATATATATATATATATATATATATATATATATATATATATATACAAGTAAGAAATAAATACTTAGAAATGTTTACATATTTTAATTGGCCGTTCTGACATCAACCAGCTTGACTAAGTATATATTTATGATATCTGAAATACATTTCTTCATAGTCAAAATATAAGAATATGAGAATAGAATTAGGAAATATAAGAATAGAAATGAGATCTGAGATTCATCAGAATGTTTATTCTAGATGTGAAGAATGTCATAATTTTTTTAATGGTCATTTTGAGAACAATTTTGTTTTTTAAATATCAGGAATACATATACGTAAAACTAGTACATATCAAAATGGCTTACCATAGCCTGTTATGACCACAATAACATGACAAATTTATTTCTTGAATGATGGTGGATCAATGTATCTATTTAGGTGAAATATCTGGCAGTAGGTGAAGATATAGAATAAAAACGGTCTAATAGATGGAACCTGTTCATCATCTCACTGGGTTCCTCTTTAGTTTGATTCTGTCTTCTTTTACACAGTAAATACTGAGTGGCTGTTTGCAGCTGTTTCGATTGTTATCATCTAAATAAATCCTCGTTATTAGCGGTTATCAGCCCCATGGAATGGCTTCAGATTGTGCCAGTAGGCTCAGTAGGTTACCACTGAGTGAATCCTAATCCTAACCCTAAGGTAATTCCTTTTCCACCCATGAAATTAATTAATCTATTTAAGTGTAATAAAAAAATTATCCGCTTTTTGCTCATTTGAAATAAACCAAAAGCAAATGCATTTCATATCCTGTCGCTGAGTTGAAGAATCTTCTCCTTTTAAACATTCAGTTCTCTTTAAAAATGCCGATCATTCTTTAATAATAATAATAATAATAATAATACATTTTATTTCAAGCGCCTTTCAAAACACTCAAGGTCACTGTACATATAAAAACAATAAATGGTAAAAAGCAGTCGTCATAATTAAAAGAAACAACACAAATTACACAGAGGAAAGTAATATAAAATCATAATGAAAAGGCAATCTTGAACATGTGGGTTTTGAGTTTGGATTTGAATACGGGTAAAGACTCGGTTTTGCAGATGTCAGAGGGGAGAGAGTTCCAGAGTGTGGCCGCAGAACGTGAAAAAGCTCTGCTCCCCATGGTTTTAAGACGGGCTGAAGGAACAACTAAGTGAGTGGTAGAAGAAGATCTAAGAGTGCGGGAGGGAGTAGAAATTTGAAGTAAATCAGAAAGGTATGGAGGGGAGAGATTGTGAATAACTTTAAAAGTAAAAGTTATTCACAATCTTTAATAAGATCCATAATAAGATCCTTACTTTAATAAGATCCTCGTCAATCAAACATGTAATGTTTGTTTTTAAAAGCTAATGTGTCTAACGATCTAGTAATTGACATATTTTATGAACAAAACTACGACAAAAATCTGTCTAAATCGGAAATAAAACGTGATTGGCTGTAAGGAGAGTAAAGTTACAAGTGTTTTGGCCAGAGCTCCTATATGATTTTTGAGGGAGAAAATCTAAATCCCTTTTGCTGCATGTTAGAGATGCACTTTCACTCCTCCATTTTCCTTTACCGGCTCTGTGGTGGTTGTTTGCTGGTGGCTGTCGGTATATTTTTTGGATGCTATAATATTTAGGTTCAATGATGATGTTTTTACTTTTCGTAAATCTAAATATAGAATACCTTTTTTCTCCAAAAAGCTGTGCTAACCTTTTTTGTCAATTACTACTGTTATTTCTGACAGTTAAAACGTGCATTAAGACTTTCTCCATGGCCTGTTATTGTATTAATGGCTCTTTTATGGCCACAATGATCGTATGCATTCATGCTAAACATACTAAAAACTGTGCTTACTAGTTACTTAATGTGTGCTATTTCTTTATGTTTGCATATCCTACACTTATAATTACATTTTATTTTTTGTTGATTCAGACCTTCTGGGACGAAGGACGTGTCCTTCACTGTCCCAGACACCATCACCACCTGGGAGACAGAGACTTTCTGTTTGTCCTCTCAGGGTTTTGGTTTGGCTCCTCGTCAGAATCTCACCGTCTTCCAGCCTTTCTTCCTGGAGCTCACCCTGCCCTACTCTATAATCCGAGGGGAGAACTTTGAGCTGAAGGCAACCGTCTTTAACTACCTGACCAAGTGCATTATGGTAAGATTGCATCCTTTGTTTTGTACAAGCATTTGCTTCCCTGATAGTGACGTCTATATCCTAAAGCATTTTCAGGGTATTTCAAAGAAGTTAAAACATAAATACCATAGTGTTAGATAGGCAAGTATGAGGTATGTGATCCTGTAAGTTATCTTCTGACAGCAACATAGGTTCATGGACCCCCCCACCCCCACCCCAAACAAAATATATGCTTAACATGTCATTATATTTGAACCACTATAAATCCTTAAAGGAATAGTACACCCAAAACATGATTAGCCTTCATTTTCTACTCACCCCCATGCTGAACAACACTCTGGAGTACTTTTTTGATATCTCAAATGCATCTGGAGATCTGGGAGGCTTCTTGCTGTCTGCTGACATTCAAATAATGGAGGTCTATGGCGCCCGAGGCAGAAAGGTCCATAAAAGTCCACAAAAAACGTGTCAATATTCCTCCATACTGCTCGTCCAATGTATTCCAAGTGTCCTGAGTGGGTAGCGTCCAGAATTTACTCGAAACGAAGTCATTTAGAATGTTTTTAGAGCATAAACAGTAGTGTATAGGATTTCCTGAAAGCGCGTTCACGAGTCTACGGAAACCGGCAGACCAAACCAGATGAAAGTGCGCATTCAGCGTCTGCTCTGCGGATAATGCAAGCGTAGAAGAAGAAATGTGCTGTTTACCTGTGCAAAGAAAGAAACAACGAAAGAAAAATGTCTGAGGACTTCAGTGTTCAGACTTCAGACTTCAGAGGAAGAGCATGAGTTCTTTGCCGAGCTGAATGCGCACTTTCATCTGGTTTTGTCTGCCGCGGCTTCCGTAGCGTCGTGAACGCGCTTTCAGGAAATCCTATACACTACTGTTTATGCTCTAAAAACATTCTATTCTATTTTATGGACCTTTCTGCCTCGGGCGCCATAGACCTCCATTATTTGAATGTCAGCAGACAGCAAGAAGCCTCCCAGATCTCCAGATGCATTTGAGATATCAAAAAAGTACTCCAGAGTGTTGTTCAGCATGGGGGTGAGTAGAAAATGAAGGCTAATCATGTTTTGGGTGTACTATTCCTTTAAAGAAGAAAAAAAGGAACAAGTGATATATGGAAAATCTAACTTTAAAACAACAATAAGTAACTAAATAAGTAACTCTAAAAATATTTAAGGCTAACTGAAGCTGGACTGTTTTAATAAACAAGACAAAAAAAGGAAAGAAGCTACTATAAACACTTAACAGCTAACTTGGACAAAGTCACACATTAATCCACTGACAGTCCAAGATGCTAAGTTTATCTTCCTAAACAGGTGACAGTGAAAGCAGAGAAATCCTCAGATTACACCCTCACACCCCTCTCTGGGGACCAGTACACATCCTGCCTTTGCGCCAACGAGCAGAAGACCCTCAGCTGGACCATGACAGCTACAGCTTTAGGTGAGGAGGAGACTTTTTCTGTTTCAACAACAAACTGCAGTTATTATAACTAAGGTGATGGACTGTGGGAACAAATCTCTGTTTCCCTTCAAACCTGAAAAGGTCATGGATCTGAAGGAGGAGCACAGGCTGTGAGCATTTGATATGTTTAAATGTTTTTAGGGGTTGTAAATGTGACCGTGTCTGCTGAGGCCATTCCATCTCAGGCTTCTTGTGACAATGAGATTGTGAGCATCCCAGACAGAGGCCGCATCGATGTTGTCACCCGTCCTCTAATTGTCAAGGTTTGTCTGAACAAACGTTATTCAAAAATACAAACATCTGTCTGGTTATTGGCTTTCCATAAATAAGGACGACTGATGATGAATGACTGTCAGCTCTAACTGGCGTCTCTCTCTCAGGCTGAAGGAGTTGAAGTAGTAAAGACACACAACTGGCTGCTCTGCCCCAAAGGTCAGTAAAGTCTACACCAGGAGCGTTGCTAGGCACAAAGCTTTACTGGGGCACTGGCCCCCTACCGCATGTGCCCCTCCATAATACACAAATACAGACAAGCACACTGCCCCACCCTGATACATTCCTACCAAAATTACCAGTTGAGATATTAATGAGTGTAAGAGCATATTTGTTTTAACAAACATGAACATTTTCAACATTGCAGCTATAAAAAATAAGACATCACCAACTCTGACAAATAAAAAGTGTCCTTATACACATTCTGAAGTAATCATTAATTCCTAGGTTTCAGGGTTTTAGTTTGGGGGAAAGTTTAACTCAACCTGAACTAAGTTTTTCTTTTATTTTTTGAGCATTAAAGTGTACCTCCTATTTTTCATTTTTGCAAAGCGGTCAATCACTAGACTGTGATTCAGCTTAGAAAGTTCTTCCTTTTCAACTGATAAAATAGCCAGATGGTGGAGCCTGTCTTGTCCCATTGTGCACCTCAGCCAAGTGTGCAGCCTTCTCAATACACTGAATGACCTTTCACAACTCCAGCTGTAGACTGGGATGGTGAGGAGATCTGGATGACCTGCGTTAGTGTGGGGAACATGATGTTATCAAGTAAGTTGAAAACACACTGCATATCCTTTCTTTTTCAACCATAAAAAGCTTTCAAACCATTTTGAATTAAATGAAAGTTTTTTTACTCCAAATTTGTCCTGGGGATAGTGGGACAACTTCACTTGTTTAGGACCATCATGCTTTCCCCCTAAGTCACTAATGTCTCCTTCTTGTTTGTGGAAGCTGGTTGTTGCTCCCTCATCATCTTCATGGTCCTGTCTCTCCTGTCTCTCTCCTGTCTCTTGCCTGTCAGTCTCACCTCCTCCTCCCTTTCCTACTCCAGCACCTTCATTCTCATTCTCAACAGCAAACATAAAAAAACATAAATCTATAATTATGTAAATATCAATCATATTGCTTATAACGTTCCTAATGTAACTGGTTAGCTTAAATCACTAATTCATCACGGGACCTTACCTCCCTCTCTCTCATCTTGTTTTACTGCTTCCCTGTCTCTGCTTCGTGTGAGGAATTTCCTGATATCCATCTACAATCCAATGCAGTCATTTTCAGTTAGTAGCCTATAAATCATGTGGTTTCACTGGGAAAATAATAAAATTGACAGGTAAGAAATGTTACCAGGACTAAAAATGCGTCGCGGCCGCACAGTGTCCCAGCGCGTTAGTTTACCTGCAGTTCATGCAGTGACATGCGCTGACGTGGGGGCGCTAATACATCCTGAATTTGGAGTAGAAATATACGTCTCCTCCCATTGGAATTATCTTAACTTGTTAATTAAAAAATGTATTACTGTTGCAAATATTCATGAGATTTATACTGGGGCACAGCTCATTTATACTGGGGCCCCAGTAAATGGGGTCTGGCGACGCCGATGGTCTACACTTTGCACAGGTTGATTGGGAGGAAAAAACAACAGGCTGTGGATGTAAACATGTTTGTATTATTGTTGATCTGCTATTTGTTTTAATGGTGCAGGAAGGTCTGCAGCTTTAGATCCAGAACTCTCCAGCAACACCTTCCTCAGCATTTCATACTGTCGCATACATCATCTGGCCACCAGGTGAAACAGGAGTCCATGTGTTATTTTGGGCTTGTTGATGCATTCTGTGGCATGAGGGCCACAGCTCTTACATGCCAAGTATACCGCACATGACAAGGACTGCAACAGCACTCCCACCAATTAGGTCCCATTTAGGTAGCAATGACCTTATAATTACTCTGATTTAAAGAGTTGTCAAATTGGACTTTTTCATGTTAAAACGTGTTTTAACAATATTGGATACTATAACAGTACTAGCATTAGCCCGACTGGCTACCAGCAGGCCTTCTCTGTTCCATCAAAGGCCTAATTCCACCAATCAGTGACCCACCGGCAATCTAAATGTCTTTCTGCTTGTACCTTTTACGTATTATTCAAAAGACCAGGAAAGATGGTAAACAAACTGTGGATAACTGCTAATGTTGCTAATGCTACATTGACATTGTAATGGGAAATAAGTATATAAATATAAATGAGATAAATGTAGAATAAGATGCTCATTTGTACCCTGATTAGAAAAGGGGTTTGAAAGTGGGTCAAAATTAGCTCTATTTATTTCTCCCCAAAATGAGTAAAGATAAATTTAAAGATGATTTCAGTATAATACCAGGTTAGCTCCTTAGCTAATGCTTTATTGAAGGAGGCTAAGTGTGAGCTAATAAAATTCACTCACCTCGGCATGCTGGATGCTTGAAAAGAAGAATGAAACTCTCAGCATCACAGATTCCTCAATAATTTGGTTAATTATTATCCGACCCGTCAGAAGATTTAAATTTTCTCATGAGAACATCTGTTGATCTTTAAATGTGGAAACAAAAATAAAACAATACAGTGTTGTTACATCAAAGGTTAAAAAAAATAAAATAAATAAAAGGTAATGTTCTCATCCCTGATGTCGCAGAACTTTGGAGAATCAAAGTCTTTTATCCAAACCCACCATTTAGAAATTGAATGGCATTAAAAGTTAACCACATTTTTCAAAGACTTGATTTCTCACAAAATCCCTTTATTTCTCCTTTAGATCTGCATACATCAAACTTTTAGTAGTAAAGTCTTCATTGAAGAACAGAACATTGTTAGGTTCAAAAATGTAGGTTCGTAAAAGAGGAACTGAGTCCACACAGGAAAGTGATCTTTAGCAGCTTCTGCAGAAGGAGAGAGCTACACCCAACTCTCTAACTCTCTAACAGACTTTCTCTGCAGAGCTTTTTTATTAGCAGTTCATAACACATGGGGTGGGTTACAAAACAGAGTGTTCTTCTGATAAGGAAATTGATCAAGTCACAGGACTGAATGCTCCTATGACTGAATCACAAAACAGAGTGCTCTTCTGATAACTGTGATTTAGCCTTGCACAAACATCAGTAATTTTCCACCACCGTTGCATTACAGTTTGCAGTAAACAAGTGAAGCATCTCATTTCCTCAATATTTTATATGTACACACATTAACACATTAACTTTATAATCATCATTGAATAAACCTTACAAACATGTTTGGAAATATTGCAGGTTTAGTGTGTTTAGTTGTAGCATTCATGACTCTCTGATCACCGTGACAATGTGTTGGAAAGCTGAATATTGAAGTTAATTAATTTCTTCATTTGTTTTTAAATCGTCCGTCTGTTGAGGTTGTGTAATAATAACTGAAAACTGTTTTTGTATAAACTCAGGTGAAGCTCTGACTGAGGAAACGGAGCTACAGCTGCCTCAGAACGTGATTGAGGGATCTGGCCGTACCTCAGTATCTGTCCTCGGTAAATCGCATGGGTCAACAAAACACAGTTGCTCCAATTTTTTGCTAATCCTGGTCTTAATGCTGCATCCCAATAAACATCCGTTTAAGTTTTTGAATTCATTGAAAACATTTTTCTCAACAAATGATACAAAACGGGTCAATCAAATGAGGTGAGCTCTGTGTTTCTGTTTCTGCACAGGTGACATTCTTGGCCGCGCCCTACAGAACTTGGATGGTCTGCTGCAGTTGCCGTATGGATGTGGGGAACAGAACATGGCACTGCTGGCTCCTAACATCTACATCCTGGAATATCTACAACGTTCTCAACAGCTGACCTCAGCCATTAAGGAGAAGGCATCCAACTTCTTAACCAGCGGTAACTCTCTTTCATTTAGAACACAGTTAAAGGATCAAAGCTCCAAATAGAAAAGGTTGATATCTTTAAACTATTCATGTTAGAGTTTTAATGTCCCACACGGGGACATTTGATGCAGCAATCTAGATATTTAAGACCTGATCCACAGAGCACAACACCAAACACAACAACTAGGAGGAAAACCAGACGTTCTGAAATGTTCTAATATCAGTCAGTCTTGGTCAAATTGATGAAATCCCTTAATGGGAATAATTGAAGCAATTTTAGAGAGATTCTAGAGAGACCTGAGGAAAGGAGAAGAAGACAATCATTAACCCATACGGAGACGATAAGACAGATGTTACCACAATTTAAATCAATAATTGGGATATCATCCAAAGAAAGCTAGATGGATGATAAGGTCAGTTATACTTATAAACCTTATAATATTAATGAATCTCCTTTAACAGCTTGATACAGAAGATCTGGTTCCATATGAGTTTATGATCCTCTCTTCCAAGTGGTGTCAGGCACCTTCGTTATGCAGCGCTACTTTGCAGCTTTTCTTATCTTGCAGGGATTTTTACAACTTTTTGTAATTTTTCTTTGCATGTGTTCTTTTGTAGTTGTGTTTTAGTCTAATTTTTGAGTTTGCAGAGCTTTTGAATTTGCTGTAAAATCATGTATTTACACTGTGTTTGCCCCCTTTGCAAACCCCTGACATCAAAAGAAAGAGCCAGGGGTGGGGGGGGACTCAGCCGTACTGGGGTTCCACTCCACTACTTTACAAAACATGTCTGAAATATCATCCCGTCGTTTTAATGTGAAAACTTAAGACTTAGACATTTCACTGTCACAAGATAATTAAATGTTTTACGTTTTAACATTGCTTCTCTCGTTTTGTCCTTCATTAGCTGTAGGAGAATCTAACACTGTTAACAGGAAGTAATCACCCTCCTAATGTTGTTAGATCAGCCAGAGCCGATCTAACCGCCGATCTAGCCGCGCACATTTGTAGAACTTCCATTTTCATATAAAAAAAAGCTGAAAATGTATCTAAAAACCAAAAAGATCCTTCCAGGAATTTGTAGAAAATGTAAGTTAACTTAAACTGAAATCATTAAAGTATCTTTGATTTCTCCACCGAAGCAGAAACATGATGATATGTTTGTAAATTCATGATGTTAACTTTACGTCCCCTTGGATACAAACCTGTTCCTGATGTTCTACAGGTTACCAGAGACAGCTGAATTACAAAGACTTTGAAGGTGCATACAGCACATTTGGATCAGGACCAGGAAACACCTGGTGAGAACTTCACTAACCAGATAAACACTCACTCACATCGATCCAAGGTTTACATCCTGACAGCCCTTTCACACAGACCCAAAGCTGTATCAGTGCGATTCTGACAGAGTGATAAAACAAAATACCTTAATTTCTAAAAAAGATGTGGAGGTAGACTGGAAGTCATTTTTAAAATAAACAGTATTTATTAAACTATTCAATCCTTGTTTTTTTAAGTCTGAGGACTTGACCAAAGTGCTTTACACTACATTTAGTCATTCAGGCACACACTGATGGTGGTGAGCTACATTGTAGCCACAGCTGCCGTGGGGCTCATTGACAGAAGCGTGGCTGAGGTACACTGGCACTACTGGGCCCTCTGACCACCATCAGTAGGCAATGCAGGTCAAGCGTCTTGCCTAAGGACACATTGACACTGAAAGCCGGAGTTTGAACCGTCAACCCTTCGATTTCAGGACAAACTCCTACATCCAAGGCCACTGTCGCCCCATGCTTCATTTTGCTTTGAACGAATGAATGAATGAATGAATGAATGAATTGGAATTTATTTCAGAAAATTTGACAAACAACAATAAATGAATCAACCAAATACACACAAATAGACTAGTTAACATCAACCAAACCAAACACCAATTTCTAAACTAACTAAATTCAACTGAACATAAAAAGAAACAAAACCCTCCACCAATAATGTAAATTATCTGAAGGGGCATGAAGAAGTAAAACTTATTTTTCATACCCCTCTCATTGTAATTGCACTTATATTAAGTTAGACTAACCTTCCTGTTAAGCTTGTTTTTTTTCTCAAATATTTTTTCAAAAGGTTAAAGGTCATTGCTATTTTTCAAAAAGAAATAATGAAAATTAATACATAGCAGATAAATAATTGATCATAAATTTAGAAGCAATATAAACATTAACTTCTGATTTTGATGCCAGTGGTTACATGACAGGATGCTGTACCAATAGGAATAGTAGAGCTAAGAAATAGCTTTGTCATATTGAAACTTATATTTCTCAGATTTAATAAAAAAAATAATAATAATAAAATGAGGCTGAACGTCAGACAAGCTTTGAAGTGGTGGTCCTCAATTTAAGGGAGCAAAGGAACCCAGAAGCAAGGCAGGGTGGCTGTTTTTCTCCTGAAATTGAAAGTTAAATGCTAAGCAAATGTTAGTCTTACCGTTAGCAATAGCATTAGCGATCTGACAAGTGACTGCAAATGATAGGGAACTGCCTTTTGTATCTATGCTTCTTTTTCTATATCTGTTTCTGTCTCCTTGAACCCCAGTGGGCCTCAGTAGATGGCCGCTCACACTGAGCCTGGTTCTGCTGGAGGTTTCCTCCTGTTCAAAGGGAGTTTTTCCTCTCCACTGTCGCTACAAGCATGCTTAGTGTGAGGGATTGCTGAAGAGTCAATGAGTCGATGCAATCAGCTGGTTTTCCTTAGATAGAAAACTTGGAACCAATCTGACAGGATGATCTTGAAAGTGAGCTGAGATAAAATGATGTGAATTGGAGCAATAGAAATAAACTGAAATTAAATTGAAATTAATTAAACTGAACTTAGGGGTCATCATCTTTTAGTGACATCCCATTGGTATTCCATGGGTTTGATAGGATTTTTCCTTCTACTCTCTGCAGCTATTACATCTTTAAGTCTTTTGAGAAGGCTTTATGAGGTTTAGGAGCTTGTTCATTGGGGATTTCTGACATTCCTCCAGAAGCAGATTTGTTAGATTATAAACTGATATTCGTTAAGTCTAGCTGCTACTCTCTGCTCTAATTCATCCAAAAGGTGTTCTATCAGGGTAATGTCAAGACATACGGGACAGTTAAAGTTCTGTATGTCCAGTTTAAAGGAACTGGTGTACAGTCAAGGTGGATGGTGTCTAAGAATGAAGAAATTTGGAGCATAGAATTGTTCAAAATCTTTTGCTTTGGAAAAAAAAAGGCTGTGTCTGAAAGTCCACCCTAACCCCTAAATCCATCAATCACTATATAGAGAGGGGACTATATAGTGGATTTTATAGTGAACTAACTGGTCAGACTTATGATCACTACTTTTCGCTCCCTGTTGGTCATGTAACTCCCCACACTGTGCCTGTTCCATCTTTATCTACCACAACAAATCCCATGATGCTTTGAGAGGTGAGCTCTTGCAAAGCAATCTGGGATATGGCTGCTCCTCTAGTGACATGGATGGTCACTACTTTTCAAGGTGCATTGTTGGACGCTCATCTAAAATGGTGTAACAACTATATAGTGATTAGGGCAGAGGTTTGGACACAGGCAATCAGTTTCTTTCACTGGACCTAAGGTTCCGAGCCCCTGGAAAACCTCAGGGCAGATAGCAATTCACGGAAACACACACTGTACAGGCAAACAAGTCAGATTATTCTGGTAGCATTTAGCCACTCAAAGTGTAAAGACAATAAATAACCAAGTGTACACTTAGGTCTGTCATGGTCTTGGTTTGTTAGTTCCTATTTTCTTGGTTTTATATTTGTTGTCCTCTGCTGCCCCCTTGTGTCCTCTTTCCCTTGCTCTGTTTTCTGTTCTGCCCTCACCTGTTTTCAATTCCCTCGTTAGCCCTCTCTTTGTCTCTGTCCCCTTTAAAAGCCTCCCTCTTCAGTTCCTGTTTGCTGGATCCTCGTCTAACGTCTGTCTGCCTTCCTTGTCTCTCCCTGGTTGCTAGAGTTTGGTTTTCCCATGATGTCTCCTTGGTTCTGGTTCGTTTATTATTTTGTTGGATTTTTTTATTCCTGCCTCAGTTCCTGTGAACCTTATTAAACCCACTTAAATTCACCTCTGCCTACTTGCGTCTGCATTTGGGTCCTCTAACCAACGCCAAACCCTGACAAGGTCAACCTTACCCATTTAGAATAACTTGATCCTGTGAAATGTTTACATGCACGCTGATTGGATTGTGAGCTGGCGTAAACCATCCCTCTCAGTCAGATTATAATTTATAATATAATATAATCCTACCAAAAAATTCTCCTTAGGTGTGAGTGTGCGTGAATGGTTGTTTGTCCTGTTTTTCTCTGTGTTGCCCTGCAATGGACTGGAGACCTGTCCAGGGTGGACCCCACCTCTCGCCTGTAGACCGCCGGAGATAGGCACCAGCACCCCTCACTGCCCCAGCAGGGATAAGCGTGACGGAAAATGGACGGATGGATAATCCTACCAAATCAATTAAAAAATATTCTGACTCGCATGTTCACATGACACAGTTTACCTCCAGTCAGCATTTTATTCTGATTACTTTTGTCCATGTAAATGTAGATATCATTAAAATACTCTTGTATTCATCAATAACGTCAAAATTCCCAACAAACAACAATGATAGAACTGGTTTGTTTCAAAGCTATTTTATTCTAATCAAAAACATCATTTGAGGTCAGTTAATGTGAAATGTTCTCGTTGTTCTGCAGGCTGACAGCTTTTGTTCTGAGATCTTTCTCCAAAGCTCAGTCTTTCGTCTACATCGACCCAGAAATACTAGAGCAATCAAAGACTTGGCTGATCAAAAAGCAACGTAGCAACGGCTGCTTTGAGCAGTCAGGAAAGCTCTTCAACAACAGAATGAAGGTAAGTTCAGATAAAATGTGCTGTGATGCGTAAGGTATTTTCTTTTATCTTATAAGGCATTTTACATTTAACCAAGTGACTTTAGGTTTGTCAAGTATTGTCCTATGAAAGAGAGCCCCATATGGCCGTGGTTCATCCTACAAAGGATACTCTGCAGACATGGACTAAAATAAACAAGTTCTCCTAAAAACAGAAAAAAATTGTTTTTTAGATAGAACATTCAACTCTAATTCAAAAAATTTTGGTCATTTGGCCTCACTGATTAGTGGTTTTCTTACGGCTACACAGCTGTTCAGTTCCAGTCCCTTGAGTTCCCTTCGCATTGTGCGTGTGGAAATGCTCTTACTTTCAGTATTAAACATAGCCCTGAGTTCTACTGTTGTTTTTCTTCGATTTGATCTCACCACACGTTTAAGTGATCGCCGATCCCGATCATTTAGGATTTTTTCTTGCCACATTTCTTCCTTGAAGATGATGGGTCCCCACTATCCTTCCAGTTTTTAATAATGCGTTGGACAGTTCTTAACCCAATTTTAGTAGTTTCTGCAATCTCTTTAGATGTTTTCTCTGCTTGATGCATGCCAATGATTTGACTCTTCTCAAACAGACTAACATCTTTTCCATGACCACGGGATGTGTCTTTCGACATGGTTGTTTAGGAAATAAGAAGCAAGTCATTGCACCAGTTGGGGTTAAATAACTTGTTGCCAGCTGAAAGATAATCACCCATGCAGTAATTATCCAATAGGAGGATCGTACCTATCTGCTTAGTTGAATCCAGGTGGCGACTTTTTTTGGCCAGGCAGTGTATATATTAACAGTAATGGCAATAACATTGCCCTTTCAACATTTGGCGGGCTGTGGACTTATGAGTTGCCTGAGCAAAATAAATCTAATCAAAGAAGTGTCCTACTATGACTACGAAGCTGATCCCAGCAAGAAATAGGTCCCTAACTATATAGGGGCAGCGATAGCCATGCTAACTCTGTAGGGGCAGCGATAGCCATGCTAACTATGTAGGGGCAGTGCTAGCTATGCTAACTATGTAGGGGCAGTGATAGCCATGCTAACTCTGTAGGGGCAGCGATAGCCATGCTAACTATGTAGGGGCAGTGCTAGCTATGCTAACTATGTAGGGGCAGCAATAGCCATGCCAGTCCAGGGACTGACTGCGGTTCTACTGTGAGGCGTCTTGGTCAAGGTCAATGACCGGCGTACCTGACATGGAATAACCACACCATGCATATTGCTTTAGGTAATAGAATATATTAATTAGGCTATGTATGCATCCAAAAAATAAAAATGCACCATCCCCCTTAATTTTTTTTTTAACTAGACTACTGGATAACTACTGTGAAACAGAAGATATCTGACAGATAACTTTAATTCATTGGATTGACCAATGCATCTCTGGATAGACATCTCTAGAACATTCAGGCAATAATGGGTAGTGGCGGCATGGTGGTTAGGGCATAGAGCTTGGAAGCCTGAGGTCCTTAGTTCGAGCCCCACTCCCACAGACTGCCACTCTGAGTCCCTGAGCAATGACCTTTAACCCCACGCTGCACTCCGGGCACCATACAATGGCAGCCCACTGCTCCCCAAGGCGATGGGTTAAATGTGGAGTTAATTTTGTTGCTCTGTACTTGTGACAGTGGAATGACAATAAAAGCTGGAAAAAATAAAATTGTCCACTGACCACTTTGACGTAACGAGACATTTTTCACTCAATTTGAAGAACAGCAGCCACTGATTAGATGAGGACCACAGAGATTGAAGCTATGGACTCAGCCATGCTTTTTGATGCACAGAAATACTAAGGCTGTCGTCCATTTGGGTGCTGCTCCGTCTTCTGGTTTAATCCAGTGTGACATTTCTGCTGAACTGAGATATATGAAGCAGTTGTCTGATAATAAATAAGTTTCTAAAGCTACTATCTGAATCGGCTGAACTTTAAAACATTTGTTGATAATGTTATCTCTGTGATGCTTCGTCTCCTCAGGGTGGAGTATCCGATGAAGTGACACTAAGTGCTTACATAACTTCTGCCTTTCTAGAGATGAAAATGTCCTCTGATGTAAGTAGATGATTCAAAACTCTCCATTTGTTATATTTTACATTGTGCACTTTTATGAATGTTATGTTATGAAAGTCAAAGCAAGTAACAAATTAATTTATCGTATAACTCAGATCCGTGTATTTGAGTACGGCAAGACAGTATCAGTAAAAAAAACTGTACCTTGTACTGGTTGACGGAGAGGTGGAAGTACTATTAAAAGTAAACTTGGGGAGATAATGGAGCCTTTCACCTGCTGTGTTGATTGTTTTTACTGGCCAGTTAAATTTCAAAGCAGACAAACTGGCATCATTTTAACAGGTTTGGCGTTTGGTGTGAACGCACCATTAACCTTCAGCAGTGCAGAACATTGCTGTGAGGGTAAGAGGGACAGCGCTGAGAGGAACTACCAAAGCTCAAGAGGCACAAACAAAGCGGAGTGCAAAAAGATCAAAATTAGAAACTTTGAGTCATTTTGAACATGGGGAATTTTTGTTTAAAGAAGTACAATCATATTTACCATAGATATCATTTTCTGTTGTTTTGTTTTGTCAAAGGACGCTGTGGTGAACCAAAGCCTGTCGTGCCTCAGAGAGTCCGTCAATGATTTCAGCAACATCTACACTACAGCTCTGCTGGCGTACGTCTTCACTCTGGCAGGAGACATGGAGACCAGAGCTCACCTCCTGCAGCACCTCGACTCAGTGGCCGCTAAAGATGGTGAGTCATTTATACTGGGACTGAGTATTTGATGACAGTGGATCATTTTCAGTCCCGTTGTTTGTTGATGGCTGCTTTCAGGTGGTTTCACCCACTGGTCTCAGACAGCAGCAGAAACATCTGCCTCTCTGTCTGTGGAGATAAGCTCCTATGTGCTGCTGGCTAAACTCTCTGCCTCCCACACTACCGAGGATCTGGGTTATGCTGCAGGGATTGTTCGGTGGCTGACGACCCAGCAGAACTATTATGGAGGATTCTCCTCCACTCAGGTACTGCTTTTACCTTTGTAACGTTATACTGGGAAATTTAACCCATTTCCACTGATAGTGGAACTCTCAGTCTGGGAAAATAAAAGAGGGGCAATATGTCTCATTGTCCATCTTGTTTGCTCTTTGAATACCCACGTAGTGTACTTAAAATAGGAAAAAATTAGAATAGGTAATTACTCTTAAAAATGAAGGTTTAAGTCAGGCCTACACTGTATTATTTTTGCCCCTTTCGGGCCGATTCTCCAGTCATGAGAGAGTTTTTCAATCGGGCCGACTTTCAGCCTATTTCCTAATTCCTTTTTCGTTATAAAGGAATTCTTTTAAAAGACTGATTATGTAAGGTGTGAGGCTTTATTATTATTTTTTTCTATCATCCACTGTATAATAGTTAGAAAGTTCTTTATTTGAAAGAAAATTCCAATATAATCCTGATACATTTTTTTGGCTGAAGGTGAAAGGTCACAATGTTTGGTCGGCCTGATTTTGTCCCACTATACTCCAATAATAATTATTGAAAAGACGTCAAAATCCCAGTTTTTTATGTCTTTCCAACAATATGAAAATCACAGCTTTTCAACTAAATTCAGTCGTCTTTTGGACATAAACTATGTCGGCTTTTCAAGCTATTTTTGCTCGGTGAAAATACAGTTTTTTGTGTAGCTTGATATGTGGAACAAGCTTGGAACCTGGAAACTGTTACATTGTAAAACAACTGCTTAGTATGAAATGATGTTAAATCTAAGGTCATCTGTCTGTTTGTGTTTGTCGTGTCTTATAAGCCCATGTGGTTGGGGCACATGACACTTAAATAAAATAATGAATTCCTTCATTCTACCTTAAACTGCTGTAGAGGTAACGATGGAAACAGTCAGACTTTTATTTATGCTGGAGGTAATAACACCTGAACAAGTCAAATGGAGGACTGGATTTCAGCTGAGTTTCCTAATGCTTGCTTTATATACCAATATAATTAATAGTTGCCACAATCTTCCCCTTCTGAGACAATAATGATAATCCTGCCATGTAGGGCATGTTAAAAGGGCTAGCTGGAAGGACGGCGTAACCATTGTGTAGCCAATCAGAAAGTATTTCCCTAGGTAATGCTTATTCTCTGCTAAAATTATTCTGAAGTAGATAGATTTTGTAGAATTTCCATCTGACATTAGCTTGTTACTGGATAAAATATCAGTACTGATACGTTTCTAGGCAAATGACTATGCAACCTGTGCTTTCTGTGCTTTAGGACACGGTGGTGGCTCTACAGGCTCTGGCCCTGTACTCCGGTCTGGTGTTCAGCCCTCAAGGTTCCAGCACAGTGACAGTTCATTCTCCCAGTGATCAGCTGGTGTTCAATGTGAACCCAGACAACAAGCTGCTTTACCAGGAGAAGATTCTGCAGGATGTGGCAGGAAAGTACAGCCTGGAGGTGAAGGGAACTGCATGTGCCACAGTGCAGGTCAGTGACAGCATAGATAAGTGATAAGTGCAACAAATATGTTTGTTTTTTCAGCATTACATGAACTGTAACAAGATAATGTGTATTTGTCTAGCAAAAAATCTATAAAAAAAAATAGAAAGTTTAACAATTTGTAATTATGAATGATTAAATGTTACGTTTTTATTTCACTCAGATTTCTCAGCACTACAACATCCCACCCCCTCCTGATGCCACCACGATGAGTGTGGAGGTTTTACCAGAGTATGACTCCTCTCACAGACCTCCCAGAGTCAACCTGAAGCTTCTGTCTCGGTAAGTTATAAAAAAAACAAGGATAGAAAGGTAGCAGGAAATAAACCAAGAAAAAAAAGTGAACTTTGCATTAAATTCCACCTAATGGCTTAATAGAAGATACAAAATCATTTTCTAGTTTTCATGGGGCTGTTACAATTAAATATTGTCGTACCCCAGTAATGAACATAAACATGACTAGAGCTGAAACAATTAGTCGGATCAATTAAGTAATCGATTATAAAAATAATCATCAACTAATTTAGTAATCCATTAATCATTAACTGTATAGTTAACAAATATAGAGACTGTAAAATATACATTTAGCTGACAGAACAAGTCAAATATGTTGAGAAACTGTGTTTGTTTGGAGGACCCAAATGCAGAGACCAGTTGGCAGAGGTGAATTAAAGTCGGTTTATTGAGGTTCACAGGTCCAGGGGGCAGGAATCAAGTCCAACAGAAAACAACAAACGCACCTGAACCAAGGAGACATCTGGGGTAAACCAAAACTAGGTACACAGACAGAAGTTAGACGAGGATCCAGCAAACAGGAACTGAAGAGGGAGGGCTTTTAAAGGGGACAGAGACAAAGAGAGAGCTAATGAGGGGATTGAAAACAGGTGAGGACAGAACAGAAAACAGAGCAAGGGAGGACACAAGAGGGCAGCAGAGGACAACAAATGGAAAACCAAGAAAAACAGGAACAAACAGACCAAGACTCTGACAAATTAAAGCAGCAATTAAAGCAAAATTGTAAAAAAAAAAAAAAAAAAAAAATATATATATATATATATATATATATATATATATATATATATATATATATATATATATATATATATATATATATATATAAATATTTTGCATTTAAGATAAGAACAGAAAACTTTTTTGTGTGTCAATATGCTCTATCCACAACACCTCAAGTAGAAAAGTTTTAGTTTCACCTGGTTTAACTTTCAAAAATCATCTTTGGATTATTAATCAATTAATCCAAAAAATAATCGACAGATTAATGGATTTGTAAAATAATCATTAGTTGCAGCCCTAAAAATGACAGAATTAGGTGGAAAAATCTGTTATGGTTTTATTTTATTTATTTAGACAAATAATTATTAATTTCAGTTTTGATTTATTACTTTTTTTTCAACCTGTTTCATTTTGTAACACTTTTATTTAGTAATTCTACTGCATCCTACATATTATAACCGCTTTTATTTAGTGTCTTTTGATCGTATGTTTTTGGAATATAAGCCGCATAATAAAATGACCCTAAATTTAAAAAGAGGTTCATATTAAAATAAAATTTGTGGAAACAAAAAACAAAAAATCATGAAATAAAAAATTAAACAAATAAGTCTTTATTCAAATAACTCATTAAATAGGCTAAATAATAGACATAGATTTAGATATAGATTTTTACAATATTAAACCTCTTCTCTGCCAGTTCATTGATAAAAGAAAATGTTTTTTTATACAGTATAACAGCTGCTTGTTTTCAACTGCATAGGATTGAAATAAATAAGCAAACCTGGAATTCATTAACTTTGCATATAAACACATTTTATTTTTTGATAACATCCACATGCACCCATGCAGGTGTTGATTAAGGCCTGGATGTGACACAAAGTTTTCTTTATTGTCCTGTGAATAGAAACCACAGAGCAGCAAGAACATTCTGGAAAACTTAATATGCCAAACATCATCAGTTTTTTAAAGGAGACGTCCTGATCTAAACTTTATATTAGAAATTAGTCCAAAATCAGCCAAAAAAAATTATCGGAAAATATTTATCTGAATCTCCCATCTTTGATGTAAACATGCAAATAGAAAATAAACCTCTTCTAACTGCTTCTGTTTGACCTTTCTGTAACCCAGAGGTCAATAAGTTGTTCTCATGCATATTGCTGTTGATTGTTGTTTCATTTTTAGTCATATCTCTTGATCAAACATTTGCTAATTTGACACAATAGAGAATAAGTCAAAATTGTAGCTAAATTGGCTAAATGCTTTTTCCATGTTTTTCCCTCTCATGTTGTCCTCCTCTGTAAAGCTCTGGCTCCCTCTAGTGGAGGCGTAACTCACCCTTTATAAAGCCCTGATGTAATGAAGTGGTTATTTTGTAGATTTTGTCTCTTAAATATAGAAAATATAGACTTTATTCCTCAGTTGTGACCAGTGCCCCATGGTTCTGTTTCAGGTACAGCGGTAGTGAGAACTTCACCAACATGGTGATCCTGGATATCTCCTTGCTCTCAGGATTTGAACCCGACCCAGTGTCTTTGACCAATGTGAGTTAAACTTTGACCCAAACACAGGCATTGATAAAATAGCCAACCTGTTTCTGATGATGATATCGAGGCTGTTGAATGTCTTCTTCTCCTTCCAGCTTGAAGGAGCTCTGCTGGTGGATCGTGTTGAACACCAGAACAGCCATGTTGTGGTGTACTTGAAGGAGGTGAGATCAATCAGCAGCTCAACGTAGGACTTAACAGCAGGTTTTCACAGATTTATAATCCTGATTTTATCTTCTGCTCAGCTTATGAAGGACGTACCAATCCACCACAACCTGGTGCTCCTACAGCGGATCCCTGTGCAGAACCTTAAACCAGCAGTGATCGCCCTCTATGACTACTACCAGCCCAGTAAATCAGTGCACAAAACACACTTTGACTCACACTAAATTAGGTTAATGAAATAAAAACATTCTCATTTCCTTCTGGTTTTCTGTCTCTTCTAGCTGACCGGGCTGAAAGGGACTACATCGTAGCTAATCAAGGTGAGGATTATCTCACAGAAACACATGATGCACATCCACCACGTTTATCAAACAAAATGTTTTACAGCAATAAACAGGCTTAGATTGGAAGGCAACCGGACTTCTGCTCAGTTTTTTGAAGACGTTTCGACACCTATCCAGGAGTCTTTGTTGAATCTGTTGGCTCAAAAGAGAGCAGTCTCTATTTGGATCACCAAGCAAAACTCTGGTTTCCTTCCAATTTAAGCTGTTTGTGGTTTCTAAAATATTTTATTGTTTTTAAAATGAACAGCATATTTCAGGCACACAACTCAAACTCTTCAGATCAGTTCATTTTTAAAGTTTTCTGATGTTTTTATTTAAACTTCAGCCTCTCCAGTAGCCTTTTGGATCAATTAAAGTTTCATTTTTATGTCAAAAAGTAGTTCAGATAAATCTAACCTTAAATTTACAGCACTACTTATATATTGTATTAAAATCATATCTTTGGTTGTTTTAAATATTTATACGATTGTCACATTGCTTACACATTTTTTGTTGTTCTTCTGCAGTTTGAGGACTGACTAAAACCCTGCGAACATCAATGATTCCAGCACCATGTTGATTGAAGAGAAATATCTCCTTCAGCTTTTAATGTGTTTTTGATGCAGCAACAATAAATGTTTTGTTACTGTCTACTTTACAGCAGAGTCCTATTTTCTACAACCATGAAAATGTTTCTCAGTGCTATAACTTGCTATTTCACTGTATTATATAAATTTGTGTGAGTCTCCTTGAGACACATGTCACTAAATTTTTATATCCCAGAACTTCACCAGGCATCAGAATTCTATCCAATTTATTTCTATAGCTCCAATTCACATCATGTCATCTCAGGTCACTTTCCAGTTCACCAGATCATCCAGTCAGATTGATTCAAAGTTTTCTATCTAAGGAAAACCAGTTGATTGCATCGACTCATTGACTCTTCAGCAATCCCTCACACTAAGCATGCTTGTAGCGACAGTGGAGAGGAAAAACTCCCTTTGAACAGGAAGAAACCTCCAGCAGAACCAGGCTCAGTGTGAGCGGCCATCTGCTGAGGCCCACTGGGGTTCAAGGAGACAGAAGCAGACATAGAAAAAGAAGCATAGATACAAAGGGCAACTGTAAAAGGCGGACCCATCCAGAAAACACAGTGGCTCTACATCACAGTAACACAGTGGAGGTGCTCAGGATAACCTGAGCCACTCTAACTATAAGCTTTATCAAAAAGGAAAGTTTTAAGCCTAGCCTTAAAAGTAGACAGGGTGTCTGCCTCACGGACTAAAACTGGTAGTTGGTTCCACAGGAGAGGAGCCTGAGAACTAAAAGATCTGCCTCCCATTCTACTTTTAGAAATTCTAGGAACCACTAGTAAACCTGCAGATTGAGAGCGAAGTGCTCTGTTAGGAACATCAGGAACAATCAGATCTCTGATATCAGATGGAGCTTGGCCATTTAAGGCTTTATATGTGAGAAGGAGGATTTTAAATTCTATTCTGGATTTAACAGGAAGCCAATGAAGAGAAGCCAGGATAGGAGAGATATGATCTCTCTTTTTCATTTTCATCAGAACTCTGGCTGCAGCATTTTGGATCAGCTGAAGGCTTTTAACTACAGTTTTCAAATACAATTTATAATTTGAATCACAGGGTAATTTTTATCTCTATGGTTAAGTGTTTTCTCAAGTAGCAACGTTAAATGTTATACTTTTCCTTTGTCTTAAAAAGCAGAACTCTTCTAGTCTAAAAAAAAAGCTCATTTGTTGAAATGGGGGCTGTGTTTGAAGAGTTAATTCAGAAAGTAAATCAAAATATTAGTATTTTACAGTAATGGAAAATAGAACAAATGTGAACAACAAAAATGGACATAAGGACCCCTTTTTCATCATTCTGCTTCATTCTATCTCTATTCTCCCACTCTGCAGAATCTGTTAGTTCAATCTCTAACGTTCTCCTCTCTCTGCTTTTTCTCATAGTAGCTTCATCTGGTCTGTTCCTGTTTGGCTGTGACTCCATCCTGGAGAGAAATATCAGCTGTGCTGCTGCCATCAACACCTTTGTTTCTAGATGTTGGAGATCGGCCTGTTTTCCAGTGTAGTCCTGTTTCTCTGACTGTTAAGTGGAAAAGACAAAGTTAAGTTTATGTAAATGTGAAGGATTTGGGCGAGAGTTCAGCATTTATTTAAAAACAGTCATATAAGATAATGTGAAAATACATCCAATTATTCTTTATGTTTTTGGTTGAAGCATATGGATCTGTATGAGAATAGAGTGGAAGTGTAGTTATCCAAAGCTTACCAGAGTTGTTGGCCCCATTTGGTCCGCCCTGGTGCCTGAACATGATCAGTCAGATAGAGCAATGAACACAGTCCAGCTGCAGTGCCTGCCTTTTATACAGTCCGTCTCCTTATGAAAATAAAACTAAAACCTTTGCTACTGTTACGTTTTTATGCCTGACTGGATGGCAATCCAAAGGCTGCACAGGGGCACAGCTTGTAGCAGTGTTATCTTGCAGCAACAAGGTCCCGTGTTCAATTATGGGTCCAGGGTCTTTCTGCATGCAACTGTCATGCTCTCCCATCCATCCTTGATTTCTCTCCAGGTACTCTGCGTTCTTCCTACAAAACAAAAACATTACTGTTAGGTTAATTTGCATCTCTAAGTTGCCCTTATGTGTGTGTGGTTGTGTGTCTGTGTTTCCCTGCAACAGATTGCCTACCCCTGGGCAGGGTACACCGTTGCCCAGGTTGAGGCATACTACTTTTGGAATAAAAGAATAAAATGACTCCAAAAGATACTGCAGTGACTGCTAAGACAATCTGCAAAGCAGCTCTGTTCTTATAAGAAACAACTGAAGTCATGTCATGATTGGCTTAAGAGACTTAACCCACATGCAGAACACCACTGGAAGCAGAGTAAAAGTTTAACAGAGTTTATTGATGGTTTTCACACAAAGAACATGAACTGGGTCAGGCACTGGTCCGGGACAGGATTCACTGATGTCTGCAGAGACGGATAGTTTGATTAGCCAGGCAGTCAGATGGTTTGTTGAATTTAGATTATTCAGAATATACCTTGAAGAGGTCCAGACAGATCTTTGTGAGAGCGGGAACCGGTTGGGTCCAGAGACTGTTGGTTCAGCAGAGTGCTCAGCAGCAGCAGCATCTAGCTTCTGACTTGTGAGTGGCAGACCTTGGTTTGAGATTCCAGCTCTTCCTTGAGAGCAGCAGGAGGAGTCCAGATTGAGATCTTCAGGTTTGGCTCCCTTAGGCAGGCAGGCAGGTTTACAGGCAAAGCTCATCCAGAGCTTTAGGCTTAGACAGGTTTCCTGTGAGCAAGAAGACAAAGGCAGATTAGAATCAGGTTTCTCTCTAGAGACAACTAAGATTCTATCAGGATAACAGAGGCTCAGGTTCGCTAACCAAACTTGGTCAACACTGCGGCGTTGAAGGAAGGTCTGGCTGCTGCTTATGTAGGAAGGTCTCCTGATGGGCTGATGAGCGTCAGGTGTGCTGGAGGGCTCCAGCCCAGGAGACCCACAGCGCACTCTGCTGGAGAAAGGTGGTGAATCTTCAGATCCCAACAATATAGAATTGGCCATAAAGTGCCTAATATAAACCTTAGGTAAAATAACGGTCATCCACAGCAGTGTTTTTTGAGAATCGGTTCTCCGAATTAATCTTATTCATCTAAAACTAGATTATTGTGAAGGAGAACATATACAGCCTTTTCCAGTGTTCTGTCTATTCTGGTCAAACAATGGATTTACTATGTGCACTTAAACTTAAGCAGAGAGCTGTGAAGTTTCTCACGTCAGCTTAACCAAAAAAAAAAACGTTACTGACAGATTTCACAAACAGATGGATGATCTTGAACCTAACTGAGTCTAGCTCCCTTCAAAACATTCTAACTTTGGAAAACAGCTTGTCAGACAGTAGTAAGAAAGGCCCCAGTCCTGGACTGCGGTGACAAGGCAGAGCAATTTCTTTCAATCAGTTTGTTCCCTCGGAAACACGGGACAATTGTTAAAGTTTAAACCTACTTTGTTTTATTAACATTTATTGGCTTACTTGCCTGAGTGGAATTGTTTTTTGAATAACCTGTATGTCACCATTTTACTAACGCACACAGCTCTCGTGAGATCTCAGCTGCACATCCCTCTCTCCTTTTCTACATTCTGGTGATTTTTAGAGAATTCAATATTTTTAATCTTAAAATTAGATATTTAGATAAAATGCACTTGAAAAAGACAGTAATAGTTTTTAGGGATGGGCGATATGGACTAAAAAATGTATCATGATAATTTCTCTTATTTATCACTGAAACGATAAGCGACGATAAAAACTACCAGCAAAATATTTTGTATTATAAATCTGTCACTAAATTCTGTCTTGAAAGCCCTACAAAATACTAGAAACCACTAAACTATATCAATTAAGTTCAAGTACTGCACCTGTACTGCAAAACTGTAGTGATACCAATCAAATAAGTCTGAAATATGAGAGACCAAATTCCAAATTTATTCAAACGATGCAAACAGCAAAACTAACTTGGCTTATTAAAAAAACCAAAGCGGTGCAACTGCAAACACAACCAGATAAATAGTCATCTCATGATAAAAACGATAAATTCAAATTGTTATTGTGGGGAATTTCTTTGACGATATATCACACACGATAAAATATCACCTAGTTTTCTTATTTTCAATTTAAATAGTCTTGTTCCATTGGCAAAATGTCTCTTTTATCTTCTCAATTCAAGAACAAATGCACTTATTTTAAGAAAAAAAATCATTTCATGTTTTCCAGTTTAGTAGAAAGGGGAGGTTATTGGCTCACACCTTTTAATCATTAACACTGTATGTACTGCTGTCATTATTGAAATTGTTTGCTATGTTTAAAATGAATATGGGTAGACAACGAATCCAAATGTCTTTGTTTTGTTTTTTAATGAAAATTATTAAGGTTAATTTTGTAAGCTCCAAAGAGCCACTTATGGCTGCAGAGCCTCAGTTTGCACACCCGTCCTCTCGTTTATGTAAACTTCACTTTCAGGCATGTCGTAATTTTTACCCTGAACTGACTCTGCACAAAGATCCGCTCCTCCTCACATGCAAACTCTGAAGTACATTCGTAGCCGTTATAGCCAATCAGACATTTTAATTCTTTCATGACACACAAACATGGCTGATTAGTGCGTTCATCCATTTGCCAAAATCTGACCCAATTCTAGTTTTAACGAACGCAGAAGCCAGTCAGGGGTTAAACCATAAAGATCACATCGTAAGAGACGTTAATTCCTCCTTTTATAGAATCAGGTTTTTTGTATGGATCCTTTATCTCCTCTATTGTTTCATGCTGCTCAGCTGGAAAGATTGCACTGCAAAAACGATCTAGAAATAAGTAAACATTTCTTTAATTAAGTATATTTAGCCTTAATTTGAGCAGGTAAATAAGATTATTTGCCAATTGGAATTAGTTTTTTTACTTTTAAGATAAGATAATTAGATAATATTCACTAAAAATAAGAGACTGTAATTGTTTTTCTGATTTTAAATGTAGATGTTCTTGTTCCATTGTCAAAGTGGCTCATGCACCTCCTCAGTTCAAGAAAAAGTTCTTTCTTTTACAAAAAAATGACTTATTGAGATTTCCATTTT